ACAGAGTTGTCCAGCCTTGGTTCACTGCCCAAATGGCTACACCACAGCCAGGCGCCCCGATGTTCACCTGGGTCTCTCTTGAGCCATATGCTGCTGACAGTAGCAGGCAGTAGCCTAACCCACAGCACCACAACTCCAGCCCCAACTAAGCACCTCTTGTTGTGTTGTGCTCTTTCCCTCATGGCTCAGACTGCTTCTCTTGTTTGCACTACAGCAGCAACAGCCTCCTCACAGCTCCCGTCTCAGCTCACCCCCTCCTACCACTCGCCGTGCTTCCCAAGATTAAACCTTCATGCATACACATCTGACCAGGTCAATAATGCTGTCTCCATTGGCCGCTGCAAGAAAAAACCTGGGCCTGGCACTCAAGGCCCCTCTGGCTTTTCCAGCCCTTTCTCTGGATGCTGTCCCCTCAACAGGTCTCATTCCAGCATTCAAGTCTCCTTTCCCCTTTTGGAGCACTCCATTCACCCACACCCTGCAGACAGGAGTTTGTTCTCAATACAGGAACTAAAAGTAGAGATGTGGGGAGGCCAGAGACAGCAGGCGACAGCAGGCGACAGCAAGCCAGGCCAGGGCTGCTAGTGACCATCCTACCTGTAGGGAGGAGCAGCAGGAGCAGGAGTGCTAGGCTGTGGTGGTGGCGCCCAGGCCCCATGGCCATGTCACGGCAAGTGGTGGACAGGTCTCCGGGTGTTGGGAGGCCTCCTGGCTGGGCCTAGAGTGATAGGAGGCCCAGTTGGCAGTGATGGCTTGCACAGGATCTGTAATTCAAATATGCAACATCTTCATGGACCCAGCCACCCACTGGGGAGCCCTGTGGCCCCCCTCTGGCTGACTTCCCTCTGTCACTGACCTTGGAGTTCAGTATCTAGTCCTTGTCCTCTGCCCCATCCCATTACTGTCACGACTTCCTTCCCTTTTTTGTTCTGTCTTGCTCTCTACATCCCTGACTCTCACCTTCCTCTCTGCCCACCTCTTTTTCCACTCTCCTCTTGCTTCTCTATCAGGTCTGCCTTCACTTTCTTGCTCCTTTCTCAAACCTGGCTCGTAGGTGAACCTGGGGCGGCTGTGCAGAGGGCAGGGAATCTCCAAGGGGCCGGGATCCCTCCCCATTCCCCTTTGCATGGGCCGACAGCGTGGACTCCTGTGCCCATGGCAACGGAGCAACTGAAACGGCCAGCTCAGGCTACCGAGCCTGAATTATTTAAATCCTGTAACACAACAGATTCTGTAACAGCAGGTCTGCTTCGGCTGCTACTAGGGGCTCTGGGAGAACAGAGCTGCAGGACTCCGAACCTGTGTTTGACAGAGGCCTTGGGGTAGGAGGGCCAGATCCTGCACACTGAGTGTCCTCTCAGTTCTGCTGCTATGGCCTTGGTTCTGGAGGCTCCCTCTGGAGTCTGGTAGTTCCCTCCAGTGCGGGTCTGTGTCAAGCAGGCTCTTCTCTCCACCTAGTGGCGACACTGAGCCTGAGTCTGCAGGTTTTACAGTGAGGCCGTTTTCTCATTGTGCCAACCACCGAGAGCAATACAGGGTAATAGGAAAGAGACTTTATACAGTCTCAGCCGTTTTCTGAGCTGTTGGACCTAAGCAAACTACTGTAACTCTCTGGGTTTCAGTTGTCTGAATCCAGACAGTGGGATCGGTATTGCTTACTCTGGAAGTGGTTACATTTAAGTGGACTAACCCTTTGGTCATGTAATCCACCAAAAAAAAAAAAAAAATCATGAGGCATGTGGGTGTTTTACAAGGGCGCAGGGTTTCAAGGTGTCAGGCTGTCTTCTGCTGCTTTTCTGAGGCCACACGTGGGGAGCTGAATGGCAAGTGGAGCAGCCAGGACATAAACTGGTGCCCCTATGGGATCCTGGCACATGCAAGGCCAGGATTTAGCCATTGAGCCATCACACCATCCTGGCCCCTAAATATGTATTATTTCACTTTATTTGAAAGGCAGAGATCTTCAGTCTGCCAGTTCACTTCCTAAATGTCTGTTACTAGCAAGGGCTGAAACTCTCATTTGGGTCTCATATGTGGGAGGCAGATACCAAACTACTTGAGTCAAAATCACACTGGCAGGCAGCCAAATCTGGAGTGGAGCAGGTGGGACTTGAAGCAATGCCCAGATGGTACGCCAGCACCACAGGCAGTAGCTCTACTGATCATCCCATCACACTGGTTTCCAGCAATGACCTTCTAAATACCTACAGCCCAACCCATAATCATATATCCCAGCCATTCCACTTTGAGGTATATGTTCAAGACAATGGGAACATACATATACAGAAAAACTGGTACATGAGTGGTCACACCAGCGGTTACAAAGTGGAAACAATACAAGCAATACAAATTTTCTTCAACTGATGAATGTACAATCTGTAAAATGGAAAGTTGCTTGGTCATAAAAAGGAGCACAGTATTAATACACAGTATCACACGGACAAACCTTGAAATATCACATGCTAAGAAATCAGTCATAGAAAAACATTCTATAATTGTATAGCTACGTTAAATGCTGGAAAAACAGTATGAGCAGAGAAAAGATAGTTCATGGAATAAGGAGGGGTTTGCAACTATAGAGTTAAGAATTGTTGCTTTATGTGATGGAACTGTATCATATTATGATTGTGTGGTGGTTTTATTAAAGTTAGTAGAAATGTACAAATAGAGCCAACGGCAGGTATCTGGCATAGTGATAAAATGCCAGTTAAGATGCACCATGTTGGGCCCAGTGTGATGGCCCAGTGGATAAATCCTTGCCTTGCATCTGTTGGGATCCCATATGGGTGCTGGCTGATGTCCCAGCTTCTCCACTTTCTATCCAGCTCCCTGCTGTGATTTGGGAAAGCAGTGGAGGATGGCTCAAGGCTTTGCTGCAAATGGGAATTGTCTCCCTCTCAAATAACTGTTTTACGAAGAATGGTTTTCCTACATTAAAAAAAAATTATCTGAAAGACATAGCAACAGAAAGGAAGTATGGGGGAGAGAGTACAAATAAAAGCCAGAGTCAGAGATTTGCCACCCACTGGTACTTTCCCAAATGGCTGCAACGATTGAATATGGACCAGATTGGCAGAGAAGCCAGAAACTCCATCCAGGCCATCTGGGTGGCAGGAGCCATTCTCTCTGCCTGCCCAGGGGCATTAGCAGCAAAGTGGAGCAGCCAGAGTTGGGCCAGATTGAAGACAAAAACCCGAAACTCAAATTTATATATCCATGAGTGGCAGGGAGCTGGGAATGGGAGAGCTCAAATCCAGGCACTGCTATGGGATGTGGGTGTTGCAAGCAACGCACTACGCATCTACTCCAAGACTTGTGTGCCCTAAGAGAAAATACTGCCCATATTCACACATGTCAGCACTGCTAAATGCTAACTCTGCCCTCCCCAATTTATTGAGAGGCAGAATTAAAGACATAGAGGATCTTCCAAAAGGTCATGATGGCCAGAGCTGGGCTGTTGAGAAGCCAGGAGCTTCAAGGTCTCCCACACAGTGCACAGGACCCAAAACCTTGGGCCATCTTTGCTGGCTTCCAGGAACATCAGCAAGGAGCTGGGACTTGAATCAGGAACCACATGGCTCCACACAAACCATTTTCATAGCACGCCCTGAGAAAAACACTTCTCGCAAGGGAAGCAGGCTGGGAATTCATTAGAAACCCAGCAATGCCCTTTGATGCAGTCATTCCAGTTCAAATAATGAGTCAGCAATGGGGGGGCGGGGGGAGGGGAGCTCGCCAGCCTAGGAACCTTTATCTTATAGGGCCTGAGGATAATAGAAGCTCCAGCCACAGGGAAGACTTACATGTTCTCATCTAAATTCCTAATGTTCCAAAAGTCTTAGGCTTCATCCCCACTGGGCATGTGATCACATCTTCAATTTGAAAAACCAAAATAAGATCGAAATGGTTCTCATGTTTGCTTATTTGATTTTTCTCAAGAAACAGTCTATGTGAAGCAGACTGGGGATCCTTCCTTTACACAAAGGAATTCACATTTAAAAATGTGACTAAAAATATTTTTATTTTAAAAATAAAGCTAGAACCATGACCTAACAGGCTAACCTTGTCTGTAGCACCAGCATCCCATATGGGTACTGGTTTGTCTCCTAATTGCTCCACTTTCTGATCCAGCTCCATTTATGGCCTGGGGGAAGTAGCAGAGAAAGGTCCCAGACCTTGGGTCCCCGCATCCACTGTGGGAGACCCAAAGGAAGTTCCTGGTTCCCAGCTTTGGACCAGCCCACCTCGGGCTGTCCTGGTGATTTGGAGAGTAAACTGGCAGATGGAGGATCTCTGTGTCTCTCTCTCTGTTAACTCAGACTTTCCCAATAAAATAGCTAAGATTAAAAAAATAAATAAATAAAAACCACCAACAGAAGTACAAGGAGGCTTTGGATAATAAACTTCTTCTATTGGGAAATTTGAACCTTTGGCAATCCATATGCTTACATATATAGATAGCAGTGAGTTTAACCCATCATCAACTCCTTCATTTTAGAAATCTAGTCTTTGAGGCAGTCTACCTCAATTTAGCACCAATCTAATGCTGCTTATCAATGGATAAAACAAGCTAAGCAAACAAGGCCACCATCAAGATCCTGAGGGTAGGAACACTCAAAAACACAAAATGAAAGCCAATACCAGCAGTGCTATAAACATTTCATTTTATTAAGAAAGTAGCTTCAGAAAAAGAAGAAAATAATCTAGATAATTTATTTATATATATATATATTTTAATAAAAACCTTTACATAATCTTCATGCATAAAGACCCAGGGGTAGCCATACCGTGTGCAACAGCCCCCACAGCAGCTGTTTCAGGCCCCTCCCTGGGGCTCTTCACAGCTGGGAACAGTGTAGCCAAGGTCTTCTGCCTGCCTCTAAAGCCCAGCTCTATGCCAGCCTCACTGATGGTTTCTTTTTCTAGGAAAGTAGATGGAAGGTGGGAAATGCTTTAGGTCTAGAATGGGAAGGCCAGAGAGGGTTAACTCAACCTGCCACGTTTTATCTTCAGGCGAATCCAGACAGGAGTCCCACCAAGATGACTGACGCCAAGGGTCCAAACCGAGTTCTGAAAGCTTCTCACTGACATGTGCAATGTGAACAAGGACTTTTGCTCACGGCTGTAGGCAAAGTACGGTGTTCATGGACATCCGAGGCAAGAACAAAACAAGCCTCAAAGATCATCTATCCATGGTGGGCAGTCACTTCTACTGTGTAAGTGTTGAAGAGACCCTTGTTTCCTCTGTTCAACCTTCTTGATCCTAAATGGCAGTGTTAACTGACCCATCTATCTGAGACAGATTCATTGTGGATAGTTCCCCTATCGAGGAAGGGTAGTCCGGATCAACACAGCTGTCTCATTGCTTGTCACTTGTGAAGAGTTCTGGTATAAATAGGTTGGGGCAGGAGCAGGTGGCAGGTCAGCATGGAGAATCACAATTCAGAATGCTAGAGGTGGAAAACGATTCCGTGTTTGTTTTTGGGAGGGATTCTGCCAGAGGAGCTTTATTGACCATTTTCAAAAAGAAAAACCAGTTGTATGGTCTTAAAGAATGGTAAAAGGAGGCTTGCCTCCTTTTTCTGGGTTCCAGAAGCCCTTATGTACGTTCGGTATTAAGAAAAGCCCTGAAAAACTGAAGAATGCTGCCATGGGGCAGCAAGGAGGGAGGGCGGTTCTGCAGTCACCCTGGAGAATGGCAAATGTTGCCCATCAGAACAGTGTTGGGGACGTCTGGTGAGCCTGAATGACCCCATGAGGGCCGTGGGAGGATCCCAGGTCTCACTGGCTCCCAACAGTCAGTTCTCGCAGATAGGACTGTGTGAGGCTGCGCAGTTCCTCCAAGGCATAGTCCTCAGGCATGGGCAGGCGGCCGATGTGGGGAGCCAAAAGACGCAAAGGAACTCGCTGAGGGTCTGGCGTTGAGTCGGAAGTGGCATCAGGGGCATGCTGCAAGCTCAGTACCACCCGCAATAAGTTGGCGACACATTTGGCCATATCTGAAGAGAAAACGTGGAGTGTGCACTGAGGTTGGGGTGTTGGGGAAAGGTGGGTGCAGGAGGTGGTGGGCTGTAGGCGTCCTCAGGACAGGAAGTGGGCAGGAAGCAGGGAGGTTAGAGGCTTACCTGACTGAGCAAGGCGATCCTTGGCATTGTAACACTGGATTTGCTCTATCCGGTTGCAGAGCGAAGTCACTTTGGTGTGTAATTGTTCCAGCTCATAACCCGAGAAATCCACCTACAAGGATGTAGAGAACACAATGTTTTCATTATTCCATCCCAATCCACAGACCCTGCATAGAAAACCCCGGGGCAACTGGGGGGTGAGGAGTAGAAAGCTTCTTGGCAGGGCTATGCTTCCACCACATAGCCTGGCTGCTGAGGGCCAGGCACTCAGCAGGAACTGACAGGAGCAATGTAATGGGGTAGAAACTTGGACTCGGTCTCTAGATCATTCATGAACATCTAAATAAATTTGAGCTAAGAGAGACGGTACGACTTCTTAAAAGCACACAGGTCATATGTGGTATAGCCCAAACTAGAATTTAAATTTCCTGCATCCAAGTTCACAGTCCTTTTTAAAACATAGAATCTTCTCAATTCTATGTGATGTAAGTTTTTTAAAAAGTTATTTTAGTTTTATTTGCAAGGTAGAGAAACAGTGGAGGGGAAGGGTGAGAGAGAGCACACGCACTAATCTTCCACTTGCTGATTATGCAAATAGCCAAAATAGTTTGGGCTAGTCCAGGCTGAAACCTCAAACTAGGAACACATCTGTGACTATCACAAAAATGGAAGGGATCCACATATTTAGGCCATTTCCCAGGTTACCAGCAGGGAGCTGCATGAGAAGGGGAAAAGTAGGGAAAAACCAGTGCTCTAATATGGTATAGTATTGTAGGCAGTGGCTGAACCCACTATGCTACTCGGCATATAATATTTTCTTTTCAAGATTTATTTATTTTTATTGCAAAGTCAGATATACACCGAGAGGAAGAGAGACAGAGAGGAAGATCTTCTGCCTGATGATTCACTCCCCAAGTGACCGCAATGGCCAGTACTGCACTGATCTAAAGCCAGGATCCAGGAACTTCTTCCAGGTCTCCCACATGGGTGCAGGGTCCCAAGGCTTTGGGCCATCCTCGACTGCTTTCCCAGGCCAGGTCACAAGCAGGGAGCTGGATTGGAAGTGGGGCTGGCGGGATTAGAACTGGAGCCCATATGGGATCCTGGGGTGTTCAAGGTGAGGACTTTAGCCACTAGGCCACCACACCAGGTCCTAAAGATTTATTTTTATTGGGAAGTCAACCGAGAAGAAGAGACAGAGAAAGATCTTCTGAGTGATGGTTCACTGCCCAGGTGGCCACAACAGCTGGAGCTGTGCTGATCTAAAGCGAGGAGGCAGAAGCTTCTTCTGGGTCTCTCACGTGGATGCAGGCTATGGGCTGTTCTCAACTGTTTTCCCAGATCACAAGCAGGGAGCTGGATGACAAGTGGAGCAGCTGGGACAGGAACCGGAACCCATAAGATACCGGCAGATGACAATGTTTATAAAGCATTTAGTATATGTGAGGAAGCGTATTAAACACGTTTTGTGGGCCAGTGTTGTGATGTATTGGGAAAAGCTGCCACCTGCGACAGTCAGCACCCCATTAGCACTGGTTGGTCATGGTGCTCTACTTCGGATCCAGGTCATTGCTGATGGCCCAATGTATGGGACCCTGACATCCATATGAGAGACCTAGAGGAAGCTCCTGGATTTACCCTCACCCACCTGTGGCCAAATTTGGAGAGTGAACCAGCAGATGGAAAATCTGTCAGCATGATTTTCAAAACAACTAAATAAATATTAACCTCTTCATGATTATTGCTTCATCTTTGTAAAAACTGCCAGATACTTACTGTATTTACTGTATTTTATAACTGTTTACAAATCCTATGTTTTAGCTATTTACCTTTTCTAGTTGAAAGGCAAACAGAGTACATAGCTAGTGAATATGGGAGTTATCAAATGAACACAGCAGTATTTCATTGTTAAACTTATACCTACATCCTATACTGGAATGCCTGAGTTTAAGTTCCAACTCCGTTTCCAAATTTAGTTTCCTGTTAATGTACACCTTGGATGCCGCAGGTGATGGCTTAAGAACTTGGGATTCCTGCCAGCCATGTAGGGCACCTGTAGAATTGACTTCTTGGCTCTTGAGCCACCTTTAGCTGCTTTCCCAGATCAAACGCAAGGAGCCCGACTGAAAGTGGAGCAGCACTTGGCAATGGCTCAATTGGCTAATCCTCTCTCCGCAGGTGCAGGGATCTTAAATATGTGCTGGTTTGTGTCCCAGCTGCTCCATTTCCCATCCAGCTCCCTGTCTGTGACCTGGGAAAGCAGTAGAGAATGGTCCAAGATCATCTGGCCCACGTGAGATACCTGGAAGAAGCTCGTGGTGTTTGGTTTTGGATTGGGTTAGGCCTGGCTGTTGCGGCCATATGAGGAGTGAAGCAGGAGATGTAAGACCTTTCTCTCTGTGGCTACCTTTCCAACAAAAACAAATTAACCTTAAAAAATAAGAAGACGATGACGAAGAAGAAAACAACAGCTGGTATATAGGATGCTGGTGTTTGAAGGTGGAGGACTGAAGTGTAAGTTATGGAGCTGACCCCAAAATTGCTCTCCGTGTTATAAGCAAACAGCCAAGACTGACACAAGATATCTTTATGAAGACTTAAAAACCTATACTTTGTGCCCACTGCAATAACCTAGTGGCTAAAGTCCTTGCCTTGCATGTGCTGGGATTCCCCTAAGGGCACCAGTTTTAATTCCCACAGCCCCACTTCCCATCCAGCTCCCTGCATGTGGCCTGGGAAAGCAGGTGAGGACGGCCCAAAGCCTTGGGACCCAGCACCCGTGTGGGAGACCCAGAAGAGGCTCCTGGCTTCGGATCAGCTCAGCTCTGGCCACTGTGGCAGTTTGGGGAGTGAACCAGCAGATGAAGATCTTCTCTGTCTTCTCCTCTCTGAATATTTGGCTTTGCAATAAAAAAATGTGAAACACTGTATGAATCCATCTTGATCTGATATTACTTTTTTCTCTCATCTCTGAGTTTCTAATTCAAAGTAGGTCTGGAAAAGGGAAGACTGCAAGGGTCAGGAATGCCTACCACACACATTAGCTGTCAATAAATTATCCTCATCCTATCTTTAAGGACAGTGTTTTGTCTACCAATCAAATTTCAAGTATATACAAGATGTTTTAACATTTCTGAAGCATAAAGGGTCTGAAAAAAGGACAAACTAGACATCCAAGGAAGTCAGGTACCTGCTGTATACGGTGGAGCATTTCAATGACCTGAATATAATCCAAGTAAACAAGCCCGGATGTTTCCCAGTCCTGAATTAGGCTGCTGCGTTCTGGAGGTGCCAGATCTTCCAAGAACCCCTTCAGGTAGTCATAGTTTTCATTAATGATAGCATCTGAAAAACCAAAATATTGAGCAACATGTCTGTATAAATGCACAGTTCCCAAAAGTTCAGAAAAAGTGACAGAAATATAAGATAGCAATGAAGATATAATGCTGGGCAAAACTTGAGAATTCAGATATTCTGAAATTCTGCAAAGGAATATGTGATGAATTTCTAGCTTCAGGTCCCAAGCAGATTATTTTTGGTAGTGTTGTAAAACCAGTGTACATCAAGTATGTTTCTAGAAAGTAGTAACTTAATCATTCTGTTCCCCATTCTGGGCAGGCCTCTTCAGATTTGATCTGTGGAATCAAAATTCTATGGTTTGATTCAGGCTGCTGTGTCTGTACCGCATGTTACCCAGGCTTGACTCATCATGGGTATTCAGACACTGGAACAATGTGGGGTGCTCACCCTGATGGCAGCCGCAGCACTCACCAGAAGCTAAGTGTCTGACGACAATTTTGTGGCAACGGTTCCAGTGACCAGCTTTAAATAAGTAGAGGGCCTCCAAGTGCTTGTCAGATTCCATGTGCGCTCTCACTGCTTTGGCCTCATGAATCCACTCAGCAGGCACACAAAGCTTCTGGGTAAGGAAAGACTCCTTAGCCCAAGATTCAGGCGTTTCCACCAGTTGGCAATGCCGGGTGAGCAGCTCTCGGACAGCCTTCTCGCGCATGCTACAGGAAGAAGGAAGTTTGAAATAGCTCTGTTCTGAATCATGCAGAAGGCTGCCTAGATGATTTAGCCTGGTACCTGGGCCAGTCTCTCCAACTGCAGGTTTTGATCCCTAGTGGATCACTGGAAGGTTGACCACTTCCTAACAAAGGCTTTGCTCAGTTGGGATCGCTTCCTTGTATTCTATTTGGTACCTTCCCTGTCAGCACTGAGGAGCTTCCCCTTCTCCCTCAGGCTTGTTCATGTTAACAAAGCAGCTTCTAAAGTGAAGGACTCTACCAAGATTTTGTTTCTTTTCTCAAACCATAGGCATTCCTATTTCAGTCTCTTCACCTCTAGATGAAGGCCCTGGTCTGGGCCAAAAGGACTACTAATTTTAATTTCATAATAAAATTATCTCCCACACCTTAGTCTCTTTTTGGAAATCCAATGCTGTTCAAATACTCTCAATTCCATCAAAACTGTCTCCTTTTTAATATTCCTTTTCAGGAAACAGGATCTACTTCCCCATATCCATCTCTGAAACATCATCATCCTACCAGCCAGCACTTTTACCATGAAAAATCTTCCATTGGTATGTTTTAATAAACTTAAAGCAACATTCTGGAGTTATTTCACTTCCTCTAAGTGGAAAGAGCAAATAAAATATGTTTAAAGGGAAGGCTGTGCCAGAGGCTTTCTGCTTTTTTATACCTTCTACTCCTTTAACTATATAACCTGCCGACAGAAGGAGCCAACAGGTCATGCATAAAAACACATGGTGGATGCAGAACCGAAGCAGATCTGATCCTATACCATTACAGCAACGCAGCACTAATTAAGAGCAGAAACTTTTAATAAGTTGGAAAAGTCATTCTGCCATTTACTAGTGGTATATCCTTCTGCAAGTTAATCTCTGTGTACTGGATTGCTTATCCACAACAAGAGATTGTAAGAGATTATGTTTATCTTCCTTATTCACTGTAGCATAATCATGACTATCATGAACAAAACCCAAAACCCTCTACTTTATCTTATCCAACCATACTAGAAACACCATTTGTCTTTTATACACCTGAGCACAAAGGTGAGTTGGTGAGCACAGTGATGGTGGGTGGCAAGAGATAGCCAGAGATCATGTAATACTATGTTGCCCCAGTAAAGAATGTATTTCATTTCCACTTTATTATTCCTTATTCCAATTTTATACAACATTTTCTCTAGAAAGACTTTCCCTCATCCTGGAAGTTCACAAAGATCTCTTTTCCTTTGTGAGACCACTGAGATGCCTTGTGATAAATTTTAGCCTCACTTTAAAAATAAAAACAAAAGACCATCTCCATCTCCTGACTCAAATGCAGTCTGAGAACAAGGAGCTGGTGTACCTTCTCCGCTCTTATCCCTCCCACCTCAGACACTTCTCTCTCACCACTCCCCCATCAATTTCATTCCTACCACTGGCCCACATGGGTCCAGAATCTTTATCCTTTCACCTTTGTAATGAATAGTTTCACTTTTAATTGGTTTGCATGCATACAGATGATATAGGTTAAGAGTTTAACTTTCTTGATGTTTAATATACGGTTCAATTTAACACACATTCTAAGCAATTACTGCTGAACTAAATCCAAAAAGACCTTTTGATCTTTGCCTACAGTGCTAGACATATGCAGTGGGGCCAGCAAATTCTTACCTTGAGTTCTCAATGTGCAGGAGGACAAAGATGGCCCACTCCCAGAGCCCTTCGCTTTCCAGTTGGCCTGCATAACTGACCTGTAGCACACCCTCACACTGCTTGGAGAGATGGGTATAATTAAGTGCCCGCAGCACCTCCCACAGATGCCAGCTTAGGCGGTAGTCCAAAGGATCGGCTGTTATGCTTCGAGGCTCCAATAGCTGGTTGAGGTCATAATGCCTGCAAAAGAGAAATGTGTTAAGAGTTAATATAACCAGGTAGTAGTGCTGAGACAAAACAGTATAAGCCGTGGTGTGCAATACCAGCATCCCATTTAGGTACTGATTTGAGTCCTGACTGCTCTATTTCCAATCCAACTCTGCTAACAGGCCTGGGAAAGCAGTGGAAGATAGATGAGATAGCTTCAGTATCTGGGCTGTCACCCATGTAAGAGATCCCAAAGAAATTCCTGGTTTCAAGATGCACATGAAGCATATGGCAGTGCATTGGAACCTGCAGAGGACCACAAGAGGACGGAGCAAAGAACAAATCAATCAATGCCCCCGCCATGTGTTGGCAATGAAAATCTGGGCAGAGACTCTAAGATGGACTATGTCAGCCAGTGGATTCTGGAGATTTTATCATGCTTGGAATCATTAGATTGGCAGCAATTCAGAACTGCTGAGCTATCAAAACCACTTGAGCAGTGCCCTCGGAGAATGCCCCAGGTTGGGGACCCTGGGTTGGGTGGGAGATTGGGTGGGGTGTCTCCCTTTTTCTCCCCCTTTATCCTAGATACAGGAAAAAAAAGAGAGAATGTGGAAGCAATGATCTTACCCACTTTCCTGAAGCCCTTAACCCTTTGTGCCCTAATCAACTATGTAAATATGATCAAAATAATATTAAACCAAAACAAACAAACAAACAAAAAATCACTCCTGGCTTCAGACCGGCTCAGTTCTGGCCACTGTGGTCACTTGGGGAATGAATCAGCAGATGTAAAATCTTCCTCTCTATATATCTTGCTTTCTAATAACTATAAAATAAATCTTTAAAACATAAAGCTAGAACAGTGAAAACGTATCTACAGTAATAAGAAGCCAAGGGGTGGGGATTGATTGCACAACACAGTAAGAGATTTCTGTGAAGGAGGAGAATAGCAATATTATCTTGGTTGTTCACTGTAGCTACACTGTGACGTTTCTAACAAAAGTTATAAAAGCACATCCTTTGCTACAAGCCAATAATATTAAGTTTCAGTGAGTTTTTTTAGACTTTTCTAATTCTAGTCTCATGCTCCTTCTACTCAACTCCTATAAGACCCACAGTAATTCAGCAGTTTCTAAAATGAAAAGGATCAGGAACGGGACTCCCTGGCAGCTCAAACACCTCCCACGTGACAACACGGCATGGCTTTAGTTTACCTGTCACTATACAGCTTTAGAAGGTGAAAGCAGACATCTTGAAGTGGTCTGTGTGAGTCGCGCTCCTCCTCCTCTACCACACAGCCAGAGCCCTCCAGGTAGGAGGGAAGTGGGCAGCAGGCATATCCGTCACCCTCGGAAGTATTCTGAAGAAAAGAATCAAATCAATGCGTCAGTAGATAACCTATTTCACTAGATGCTACATCTTAATTACTTAGGTATCTGCATTAAGAACACTGTGATAGGGGCAGGTGCAGTGGCACAGCACACTAATCTGCCATCTGTGGTGCCAGCATCCATAAGGCTGGTGGTTCGTGTCCTGGCTACTCAACTTCTGATTCCAACTCCTTGCTTATGGCCTGGGAAAGCAACAGAAAGTGGCTCAAGTTTTTGGGCCCCTGCAACCCACGTGGGAGATCTGGAAAAGGCTCCTGATTCCCAGCGATGGATTGGCTAAGCTCTTAGCATCAGGAGGTTTTGGGGAGTGAACCAGCAGATGAAAGACCTTTTTCTGGCTGTCTCTCTTAAAAATGTGTCTTTCAAATATTTAAAAAGGAAACAAAGATGTAATAGATGCTAGCATTGTAGGCCAGCACAGGCTGGCATTCTATATGGGAACACTGGTTTCAGTCTAGGCTCCTCCACTGTCAATCCAACTCCCTGTTGAAGTGTCTGGGATGACCCAGTTAACCTGGCCATCCCTGTGGGAGACCCTGCGGGAGCTTCCTGCTCCTGGCTTCAGCCTGGACTACCTGGTGTTTGGAGTGGATTAGCTGATGAAAAGTTCTCTTTGTTATCTTGGTCTCTGTCCTCCTGACTTTTGCTTCTGAGTGGCCCAGCTCTGGCCTGTATGGCCCACTTGGATTGTGAACCAATGGACAGAATATCTCTGTCTCTCCCACTTTCTACAACAAAACAAGAACCAAACCAAAACAAACAGATTTATGTGAAAGGTGGAATATGTGCTTGATCAGGAGCCAGTCACTGAGTCTCTCATAGGAGGCAGGGCTATCACTTATTGCTTTCTCAGCCAAATTAGCAGGAAGCTGGACTGGACTTAAACCAGCAATGTAACATGGAATGTCAGTGTCAAAGGGTGGACCAACTGTGCCATAAAGCAGGCCCTTTTTAAGCATTATAAAAACACTTTACTTTATCTGGGCCTGGCTTTGGATTGGCTCAGCTCTGGCCACTGTAACTACTTGAGGAGTCAATCAGCAGATGGAGGATTTTTCTCTGTAAATATCTTTCCAAAAACAAAATCCACTTCATTTATCTGAAAGGCAGATTCATCTAACATATAATGGTTTACAATTCAAGCAACCAAAAAGGCTGGGGTGGGGAACTCAACCTGAATCCCCCAGATTGGTGTCGGGAGCACTAGTGCCTGAGACACATAATTTGCGGCCTTGAAAAAGTATGCTTAATAGGAAACTGGAGTCTAGGGTGGTGTGAGGGATTCCAACCCAAGCGCTCTAATACACAATGAGGGCATTTTACAAGTGCTATGTTAACAGCTGTGACTAATGCCTACTCCTAATTTGAGGATTTTACACCATGTTTTGTTGATGACTTACTCTTTTTTATTTCATTTTTAAAAAAAGATTTTATTTATTTTTATTAGAAAGGCAGACATACAGAGAGGAGATCTTTTGTCTGTTGGTTCACTCCCCAAGTGGCTGCAGCAGCTGGAAATGAGTCAACCTGAAGCCAGGAGCCAGGAACAACTTCTGGGTCTCCCAAGCGGGTTCCAAGGCTTTGGGCCATCCTTGACTGCTTTCCCAGGCCACAAGCAGGGAGCCAGATGGGAAGCGGGGCTGCCAGGATTAGAACTGGCGCTCATATGGGATCCCAGTGCATTCAAGGTGAGGATTTTAGGTACTAGGCCAAGGTGCCAGGCCCTGCCACAATCCTTTTAAAGATACTCTCTTGTTTGCTGGTTTACTCCACAAATGGCCACAACAGTACAATAGTCAAAGTCAATAGCTGGGAATGCAATACGAGTCTCACAAACAGATAGCAGCAACCCAGCTACTTCATTCATCACTACTGCCTCCTCAGGTAAACATTATCTGGAAACTGGAATCAGAGGGGAGGCAGAGCTCAAATTCAGGCACAGTGATACAATATGTAGGTGGTCCGAACAGCATTTTTAAACACAAGGCCAAATACCTGCATCCCTCCCACTCCCCAACTTACTACTACAAAAATTGTGGATAGAGCTAATGAAGAAATCATAGGCCTAAAAATAATAGCAAGAGAGGTCATTTGGTGCAGCAATTAAGATGCTAACAAGTGGCCCGGCATGATGAGCCTATCAGCTCAAGTCTTCGTCTTGCACACATCGGGATCTCATATGGGCACCGGTTCTAGTCTCAGCAGCTCCACTTCCAATTCAGCTCCCTGCTTGTGGCCTGGGAAAGCAGTCAAGGACAGCCCAAAGCCTTGGGACCCTGCACCTGCGTGGGAGACTGGAAGAGGCTCCAAGATCCGGGCTCCTGGCTTCAGATGAGTGCAGCTCTAACTGATGCGGCTGCCTGGGGAGTGAATCAATGCATGGAGGATCTTCCTCTCTGTATATCTGGCTTTCAAATAAAAATTAATAAATCTTAAAAAAAAAAAAAAAAGGAACAAATTTCTTTAAAAAAAGGGCACCCACACCCTTTTCAGATTGCCTGGGTTACAGTGCTGGCTTCATTTCTGATCACAGTTTGCTGCTAACACACATCCAGGAAGGGAGTCAGTCATATTTAGGCTCCCATCACCTCCATAAGGCTGTCAATGGACTTGTAAAGCCCCTGCTTTCAAAATGGCTCAGTCCTGTTTGAGGTAAGCAGGAAGTAAACAAAAAGATAGATTATATTTCTATTTCTCTCTTTCAGTGGAATCAGAAATGAATGCAGGGAGCTAGATCAATGCTTAAGATGCTTACACCTCACACTGAAAGTGTCTGTCTCAATAAGTGTTCTCAGCTTGATTCCAGCTTGCTGCCACTGCAGATCATGGGAGGCAGTGGAACAAGAGTTTGAGTCTCTGCCACCCACTTAGGAGATCCCAGCTGAGCTCCTGACTCCTGGCGCAAGCCCCGCCCAGTCCCAGCCACTGTGGACATTCTGGAAATGAACAACAGGTGACAGACCCTGCATCTCCCTGCCTCTCATAAAATAACAATAACAAAGAAATCATGTACAAATATCCTTTTAACCCTTTCAGTGACAAGGAATATGAAATAGGCTAAATATTTAAAAGCAAACTTCAGACCTGCTAATCTGAGTCTAAAGTAAACGGGAGGTCAGGCTGTATATCAGAGAATTAAAAAAATAATAAAACCACATCAGAAAGGAATAAAAACCCTCTCGTGTACAGGCAGGGGAGCAGCAACAGTCAAAGTGAACTCAGTGAACTTACACAAAATGAAAGTAGACACCGGGTGAAATACAAGGGAAATTTTATATAGAAACAGGGCTAAAGGGTCAAGTTTCTATCACAGTTCCAGGTTCATTTCAATGTTAAGGTACTCTGAAGAAAAAAAGCCATTAGTCAAAGGTATTATAAATTATAAACTGTTTTGTCTGCAAACACAGAATGTTCAATGGAATTCTTGCTTGGCTCTACTGGACACACATACCTGAAATGCTTCTTCGTACATGCCAAGAGCCCTGGAAATGGAGGCTGTTGGTGGAAGCAAATACCACAGATGCACGGCTAGGGAGCGTTTCCAATCCAGTTGGGAGCACACATTGATTTGTTTCTGTTCTGAGAGCTGCCACACCTGATTACACAAAAACCACAGATACCATAGCTATTAAAATGTACCTTGTGATTGCCTATGTACATAAATTACTTACTTATTCAACTAATATTAATTGAAATGTCAGCATTAATTATCCAAACATAAAAAATACAGCCTCTGGTAATCCAATCAGTGTTTTGAGACGAGTGCTGTTTAAAATTGAAGTCTTCTTATTGTACATAGGTGTTAGCTTCTACAAGTTAATGATGAACATAAATTCTGATTGTGGATTTTATGCCTAGAAATTGGGTTTTAGAAGATAATCAGAAGTAGGTAGCAACAGATAAATGGATTAAATCAACTCTGAAGCAGCAAATGTAAGAAGGATTTTTCTGCCTGTCAAATAAAAACAAAATTAAATGTCGATCATTGTAACCATATGGGGAATGAACCAATGGAAGCAGAGGTGGAACTCAATCCAGGCGTTTGTACAACAAACAGGCACTCCAAGGGGGTAGGCTTCACCTATTCTATCACAATGCCTGCAGCTACATTTTTTTTAAAATTAAGACTTATTTTTATTGGAAAGACAGATTTACAGAGAAAAGAGAGAATTTCTTTCTGCTTGTTCACTCTCCAAGTGGCCCCAAAGCCGGAGCTAAGCTGGTCCTAAACCAGGAGTTGCTTCTGGGTCTCCCAGGCTTTCAAGGCCTTGGGTCATCCTCTACTGCTCTCCTAGGCCACTAGCAGCCAGATGGATGAAAAGTGGAGCAGCCAGCATACAAACTGGTGCCCCTACGGGATCCGGTGGATGCCAGGCAAGTATTTAGTAACTAGGTTATTGAGCCAGGCCCAGTATTTAGTTATTTTTACCAGAAAGATTTACAGAAGAGGAGACAGAAAGATCATCTGTCTGCTGGTTTATGCTCCAAGCGTCTGCAATGGCCAGAGCGAGCTGATCCTAAACCAGGAGCCAGGAAGCTTCTTGTGGGTCTCCCACATGTGTGCATGGCCACACCGGCAAAGGAACCCAAGGCTTTCGGCCATCCTCCACTACTTTCCCAGGCCACGTGCAGGCAGCCTGATGGGAAGCAGGGCTGCCAGGATTCGAACCGGCGCCCATATGGGATCGCAGTGTGTGCAAGGCGATGACTTTAACCACTATGTTATTGTACTGGTCCACACATGCAGTTTTATATCTCTCATATGCATGTATTTCAAGGCTTCCCTTGAAGGTTGCTAATAAAAAATGATTACACATTAATAGAGCAATCATGTAAACTATCACTATAATGTTAAAAATGGTGAATTTGAAAGTTTTAGTTTCTGCAGCACTAGATATTCAAAGCAATAGATGACTACCATTAAAAATATTTATAGCAGGGTCTGGCACTGTGGCCTAGCAGCTAAAGTCCTCGCCTTGAACGCGCCAGGATCCCACATGGCCACCGGTTCTAATCCCGGCAGCTCCACTTCCCATCCAGCTCCCTGCTTGTGGCCTGGGAAAGCAGTTGAGGATGACCCAATGCTTTGGGACCCTGCACCCTTGTGGGAGACCCGGAAGAAGTTCCTGGATCCTGGCACTGGGTGTTGCACTCAGTTGGGGAGTGAATCATAGGACGGAAGATCTTCCTCTGTCTTTCTGTCTGTATATCTGACTTTCCAACAAATAAATCTTAAAAAAAAAAAAAAAAGACAATATTTATAATAAAAAAGATTTCCCTGATATACTTTTATTTTGTTATTTACAAAGATAGCTTTTTGCCTCAAGCTCAAACACTTTGAGTGTGGTAAAAGTTGATGATACCGGTTTTCCAGCTAACAGGGCAAATATGCGCAGCCTCTCATCCTGGATGAAGCAGTCAGCTTGGAGTTGGTGCCAATCCACGAGTTGCATGGTGAGCAGCTCCCGGACAGACTGGCTGCCCACCAACTGAGACAAAAGAAGGGCAAGGCGATGGTCACCTAAAGAAAACAGAAATACCTCGACTGAGTACAAAGTTAGACATACAAGCACTTTCTGCTCAATTCCTTAGGAAGGAAGGAACACCCAAGATGGTTTCCTGTAATAGGATAAAAGATACTGATGAATAACTTACCATTTTCTGTTTGGGTAGAAAACCTGCTGTGTAATTTAACTTAAAATTATATACAAGCTTAACAGAGGGATGAACTACTTCTGTAACCCTAAAAAAATTTTTTTTCTATAAAATGAATGAAAGCACGGCAAACTAGAATGTTTCATACAGTGACATGAAGAAATGGAAAATCTACATCTAAAGAAAAACTAAGATGTGTGCCTGTACACAAACTCAGTGTCCTTGTATTTCCCCCCACCCTCAACTTGTATTTTTAAGGCAGAGACACAGGAAGATCTTCCATCTACTGGTTCCCTCTCACAACAGGAAGGACTGGACGAAGGCAAAGTCAGGTACCCAAAATTCAACGCAAGGTGATAGCTGGACAAAGTACTCCAGCTATCACCTTGCTCCCTTTTAGAGTAAGCATCATAAGAAGCAGAGCCAAGACTTGAAATATCACTCTGATGTGGAACACAGGTGTCCTGCATGCCATGTAACTGCTGCATAAAATGCCCACATCTTCCTTTTATTAGTCTATCGCAGACCACCTCACAGTCAGTATGTTTTTATGGGGTCACACAGTCATTATTTTTCTTTTGTTTTTATGGGGTCAGTGTTTTGACAATTGAAGACTATTATGCTAGGAGCTAAATCTTTCATCTGAAAGCTAAAGCTCTATTTTTTAGATTCATTTTATTTTATTTGAAAGGCACATTTACAGAGAAAGAGAGCAGAAGAGGCATTTTCCATGCACTGCCTCACTCCCCATATGGTCACCATACGTTTCTTGAGGGCCATAGTTTATCCTATCCAAACCCAGGAGCCCGGGGGGTCTCTTTTGGGTCTCCCATGTGGATTCAGGGTCCAAAGCCTTGAACCATTCTCCATTATTTTCTCAAGCCATAAGCAAAGAGCTGGAACTGAAGGGGAGCAGCCAAGACCTGAGCTGGCACTCAAATGGGATGCTTAGCACTGTGGGCAGCCACTTCATTCACCATGCCACAGTGCTGATCCTCTATCCCTTCTGTTTTAATTCGAATGATTTATGGTTCTTTTTCCTGCCTGATTTGGCAACACTATCGATTCCACTGCATGGAAATGCAGATTCCAGTCTAGGAAATACAGTTTTTCACTATTACATGAAAGTTAAACTATGGATTTCCATGGTTTGTTTTTAAAAGATTTTATTTGAAATGAGGAGTTACAGAGACAGAGAGTGATTAAGCTAACTCTTCCATCTGCTGGTTCACTCCTCAGAGAGCTGCAGGACCAGGCCAAAGCTCGGAGCTTCATCCAGATCTCCTACATGGGTGGCAAGAGCTCAATTACTGGGGCCAACTTTCAGTACTTTCCCAGAACATTAGCAGGAATCTGGATCTAAAAGCTGGTGGTGCCCATTCGGTATGTCAACATTGTAGGTGACATCTCAATGAAGTATACCAAAATGCTAGCACCACAGTTTTGTTTTATAATCAGGTATCATGTATTTATGATTTCATAAGTGCTTAAGAACTGTTTCTTTCTTTGCCAAGATTCAGTTTAATTCTTTTATTTTTCAATTCTTCAGGTGTACGCTTAAGTTACTGATTTGGAATCTTCTTGTTGGGTAGGTATCAGGTAGTTAATTGATAGTGTTCATAATTTCTATAAATTTTCTTTTACCTAACTGTTATTCCAGTGATCACTGCAAACGGGTTCTGAGGGCCTGGTGCAATGGCTCGGTGGCTAAATCCTTGCCATGACTGCGCCAGGATCCATTATGGTGCCAATTCGTGTGCTGACTGCTCCACTTCCTATCCAGCTGCCTGCTTGTGACCTGGGAAGGCAGTGATGGCCCAAAGCATTAGGACCCTATACCCATGTGGGAGACCCACAGGAAGCTTATGGTTTTGGCACTGCAGCTTTTTAGGGGAGGGAAGCAGGGGATAGAAAATATTTCCGTCTCTTTTCTCTGGAAATCTGCCTTTCCAAAAAAAAATTTTAAGAAGGCACAATTTTTCAGTAATGGGGACTGGGATTTAGCAAGTTAAGCTACCATCTATCATGTCAGGAACGTATATGAGCATGGATTGGAGTTCAAGAATTTCTACTTCCAATCCCACTGCCTCTCAACACTGGAGCAAAAAAAAAAAAACAAAAACAAAAACAAAAAAAACCCAAAAAACAAAAAACACCAATGTCTCAAGGGTTATCAAAATCACTCAATACTCTCCATGCCTGTTCCTACCAACCCTAGAGAGACCCACACGGGCATACATCCCTCTGCACTATGTAAAAAATACTAAAAATAAAACATACAGTTAAAAAACAAAAAATAGAATGTGAAAATAGGACACCATCTCTGAAAAGTTTATAGACAAATGTTCCATGTGCACATACCTTTGTATATTACAAAGGAAATGGCCTAAATAGTCTTTTTAAAACATGCATTTAAAATGTTCATCCGGGCCTGGCACTGTGGCCTAGGGGCCAAAGTCCTCTCTTTGACGTGCCCGTATCCCATATTGGCTCCAGTTCTAATCCCTGCAGCTCCACTTCCCATCCAGCTCCCTGCTTGTGGCCTGGGAAAGCAGTCAAGGACGGCCCAAAGCCTTGGGACCCTGTACCTACGTGGGATGCCCGGAAGAAGTTCCTGGATCCTGGCTTTGGATCGGCATAACATCGGCCATTGCGGCTCACTTGGGGAGCGAATCATCGGATGGAAGATCTTCCTCTCTGTCTCTCCTCCTCTCTGTATATCTGACTTTCCAATAAACAAATAAATCTTAAAAAAAAAAAAAAGAATACATAACAACTATAAACTGTTGCACACCTGATTCATAGAAAATAAAAGTTGGCAGAATTATAAGCAAACACTGACAGCTCCACCAACATATTGGAAAATGTATTAAATACCCCAAGTAATTGACAGACCAACACAATCTTAATTTTGAATTTCCTGGGTAATAACTGATACATATATGTATCCTTAAAAAAAAAAAGTTCATTCTGGTCACAGGATCTGTCTCCTTTTTGCTTTTCTGTATCTTCTAATTTATAATGTGATCTAAAAGTAAAATAATTTTAAGTTAATTTCATGTTTACCATTGTAGAAAGACATTAAACAAAAAGAAGACATGATCCCCATTCTGGAAGAAGCAATAATGATCCTAGGAAGTCAGAAGACAGATGCAAAATCTACCAGCAAGGGTAGGAGACAGTAAGCAGGTAACAGACACTGGCCCAGGAAAGCCAGATGCCTCACCTGACTGCTGGGCTAGGGAACAGGCCTCTCCGATTCTGTTGCCTGTGAGGTAGCTAAAGACAGCCTCCACAGGGTTGTCTTTCTGAGTTAAGGAGACTTCCTCTTCAATCTGAGGAGCAGCAGTGTGGGACAACCAGCGAGAGAAAGCTCTTCGTCGCTCCAGAATTTGAATGTATTCACTGGGCTCATCCAGCTGGCCGTCAAGTTCCTTCAGATGTCCCCAAAGGGCTTCACATAATGTCCATGTGAGGCTCCAGTGCTTCACAACTAAAAGAACAGAAAAGCAATGCTAAGACATCAATTCTTACAATAAACTGAGAGAATTAAACACTAACTGTGACTTAAAAATACAGAAAGTACCACAAATCACAACCTGAAATAATTATCCTGAACGTGTTTCCACCTCCACTCACCTTTCTCTTACAAGTTGCAGAGGCATATAAAACAACTGCTTGCTCATCCTGTTTATTTGATAATTACATGAAAAAAACTCCATGTTCCGTTAAACAAGTTTAAACAAGTTCTCTTATGATGTGAAACTATGATTACTATTTGGCAGAGCTACTGTAATTTGGTCAAATTCTGTCTTTGAAATACTTCTATGAAATGTAGAGGACAGCATCGTTGCAAAGCGGGTGAAGCTGCTGCCTACAGTGCCAGTGTACCATGTGGCTTCCAGTTCGAGTCTCACTTAACTCTGCATCCAATCCAGTTCCCTGCTAATGTGTCTGGGAAAGCAGTGGGGAACAGTCCAAGTACCAGAGGCCTGGAACATCTGGGAGAACTGGATGAACTGCCTGGATCCTGGCTTCAGCTTCAACCAGCCCTGGCCAGAGGATGGTTAGGGAGTGAACCAGTTTATGGAAGATTTCTCCCTTTCTGCATTTCCCCCTTTATAATCCTCCGTTCTAAACAAATAATCTTTTCATTTAAAGATTTATTTATTTTTATTTGGAAGGCAGATTTAGAGATTAACTAGCTGCAGGGTTAAGCTGATCTAAAGCCAAGAGCCAGGGGTTAGGAGTCACTCGTGTGGGTGCAGAATCCCAAGACATTGGGCCATCCTCTGCTGCTTTCCCAAGCCACAGAGAGCTGGATTGGAAGTTAGCAGCCAGGACATTAACCCACACCTATATGGGATGCTGCTACTGCTGCCCCACTGCAGCACACACAAAGGGCTCTAAAAATATGTAAGGGCTTGTTCTTTCCTTCTACTGACATAGTTTTACATGTTGATTAAAACATCTTATGTTGGTGGGATACGTGCACTCTCACCTGAGTGCCTGAATTTGAGTCCCAGCTTGTTCCAATTCTAGCTTCCTGCTAAAGCGGAACGCTGGGAGGCAGCAGGGAAGGGCTCATCTGGGACAGGCACAGGTTTGACTAGAACTGAGCTGATTTTTTCACTCTGACTTGGCCTAACTTTGGCTGTCATGGAAATTTGGAGAGTACTCCCTTTCGCCCTGTCCCAATCAATCAGTGAATAAATAAATTAATTTAAAAAATTATTTGGAAGCGGATGTACTAGCTCCACAAACTAACCCTTAGCCAAAAGCATTGGTATCCCATGGGGAGACCCAGAGAGAGAAGTTCCTGGCTTCTAGCTTAAAATCAAGTCAGCTCTGGCTGTTGTGGCCAGAGTGAACCATCAGAGGAAAGATCTGGAAGATCTGTCCTTCTTTCTATAAATCTGCCTTTCAAATAGATAAAAGCCATTAAAAAAATGATTAAAACACTTTTTTCAGGTATCTTAATTTTAAGATATAGAGAGGAGGACAGAGTTAGTGAGAGAGACAGACCAAGACCTTCTATCTAATGGTTCACTTGCTGGCTGCAACGGTGGGAGCTGAGCTGATCTGAAGCCAGGAGCCTCTATCAGATTTCAAGTGGAGCAGCTAGGACACACCCATATGGAATACAGGAGATTCCATGAGGAATCTAGCCACATGAGGATTTAGCCACTAGGGTATCACGGTGGCCCAAGAATAAACTAATTTTAACATACCTGCTAAAATGTTTAACCTACATGTTAAAATGTTAGATCATTTCATTTCAGTTTATTAAATGGAGACATGGAGATTTCAGCATTTAAATTACAGGTAATATGTAGCAAACTCAGGCTTAAAAGATAATCAATTTAACCCAACTCCAAACTAAGCTATAGTGTCTTAGAACCAGCATCACAATACAAATGCCAGTTCTAGTCACAGATGCTCCACTTTTGATCTGGACAATCCGAAACCAGGAGCCTGGAGGGTTTTCTGAGTCTTGCACGCAGGTGTAGGGTCCCAAAGCTTTGGCCTGTCCTCGACTGCTTTCCCAGGCAACAGGCAGGGAGCTGGATGGGAAGTGGGGCAGCTGGGATTAGAACCAGTGCTCATGTGGGATCCTGCCATGTGCAAGTCAAGGACTTTAGCCACTAGGCTACTCCTCAGGCCCAGTAACAATGATTTTCTAAGCATGTGTTAAGTATAGGCTTTCTACTGTTTGAAATACTAAGTTATTAAATTAGAAACTTTGTTCAGAAAATCATGGTAAGAATAGACACAGGACGATAAAAGAGGAGAAATAAGTAATGGACATTTTAACAAAGTTGTTAGGAAACACTGAGTTTTGAGTTGCATAAGGAAGATGCAGGATTTAGAGAATTGTGTTTTCTGAAGAAGAGCGGAAAGTTTCACAAATTAAAAAATAACTGAGGGCCCAGTGCCATGGCCTAGCAGCTAGGGTTCTCGCCTTGAACGTGCAGGGATCCCATATGGGCACTGGTGTTATTCCCTGCAGCTCCACTTCCGATCCAGCTTCCTGTTTGTGGCCTGGGAAAGCAGTTGAGGACAGCCCATGCTTGGGACCCTGCACCTGCCTGGGAAGCCTGGAGGAAGTTTCTGGCTCCTGGCTTCGGATCAGCGCAGCACCAGCCTTTGCGCTCACTTGGGTAGTAAACCATCGGATGGAAGATCTTTTTCTCTATCTCTCCTCCTCTCTGTAAATCTGACTTTGTAATAAAAATAAATATTTTTTTCAAAAAATAATAACAGAGCAGTAACAGTTTTCTTGCTTGGGATTCAGCTTATTCCAACTCAACTACAAGCAAGTACAAACTATTGTACTGGTGAAGACATTTGCCCTCCTATGAACATATGCCATGACCTCCACTGCTGGAGGCTAAGGGGGGCAAGCACGCTACATACTTACTCTGTGATTCCATTAGGTCTCTGGACGCATCCTTAACCCAATTTGCATAGTCATGAATGATATCAACTCCAGGACTGGGGACAAAGAGAGGACACAGCTCATCCACATTGACAGTACTATGTTTTAATTTGAGTTCCAGAGGTGTCTGGTACAGTTGCAGGTCTTCTTCATCCAGCTTCTTTTTTCTTAAACTGAGTTTTTCCAAACGAACTTTGAATGGGGACTCAGTGAGGCTATCGGGACAAATAAAGAACAAAGAAAATGAAAGAAAGATATAAGCTAAGATTTCTGTGCAACTTGACTTGACTGTATGACTCACTGTAATTTTAAAGGCATGTATCATGATGTCAATCTCTACTAAATTTATCTAGTATATACTGAACAAATTAATTATCTGGTCCATGACTCAGAACCCAAAGGATTCTTTAATCAGGTTACAACTATCCCTGGAATCATACAGCTAGATATGGGCCTGGCTTCAGTTTACATCTCGATACTAAAATCCTAGGGCTTAAAGTCTGAAGGGAGTGGGCACCTGGCCAAGTGCCTGACATTTGGAAAGCCCACATCTCATACAGGAACGGCTAGGTTCAAGTCCTTGATTCACTTTTCATTTCAAACTGCTGCTAATGCAGATCCTGGGAGGAAGCACATATGGGTTCAAAGAGCTGGGGTCCTCCTACCCACAGTGGAGATGAGGATTACGGTCCCAGCTCCTGGCTTCAGACTGGACCTCAGCTGCTGAATGCACTGGTGAGTGAACCAGCACATTCTTTGTCTCTGCACTTCTCATATTAACAAAAACAAAGAAGTCAAAGTTATTGTGTGATACAATTTCAGCAAATTTTACTTAGGTATCAAAGTCATGATGCTAGGCAACACAGTCATTCCATATGGGCTAATGAGTTATATCCTAGCTGCTCTACTTTTTTTTTTTTTAAAGATTTATTTTATTTTTATTGGAAAGGCGGATATACAGAGAGGAGAGACAGAGAGGAAGGTCTTCCGTCCGATGATTCACTCTCCAAGTGAGCGCAACGGCCGATGCTATGCCGATCCGAAGCCAGGAGCATCTTCCGGGTCTCCCATGCGGGTGCAGGTTCCCAAAGCTTTGGGCTGTCCTCGACTGCTTTCCCGGGCCACAGGCAGGGAGCTGGATGGGAAGCGGGGCTGCCGGGATCAGAACCGGCGCCCATATGGGATCCCGGGCATGCAAGGTGAGGACCTTAACCACTGCGCCACCGCACCGGGCCCTGCTCTACTTCTGATCCACTTCTAAGCTAGTGTGCCTGAAAAAAACAGTGAAGAAAGCACAAGTATTTGAACCTCTGAACCTGCGTGGGAGACCTGGAAGAACCTCATGGCTCCTGACTTAGGTCTGTAAGAATGCTGGTCAAGGTGGCCATTTGGGTACTCAATCAGAAGATGGAAGATTTCCTTTCTGTATCTTCCTCTCTCTAACTCTGCCTTTCACATAAATTAGTAGAGCCATGAGGCTAACTCCACAGATACCAAGGAAGTAACTACACTATGGTCAGGATTTTCTACTTTTGAGAGTCGACTTAAAAAGACTTATTAAAAAATTCACTTATTGGGCCCGGCAGTGTGGCCTAGTGGCTAAAGTCCTCGCCTTGAATGCACTAGGGTTCCCATATGGCCGCCGGTTCTAATCCTGGAAGCTCCACTTCCCTTCCAGCTCCCTGCCTGTGGCCTGGGAAAGCAGTCGAGGACAGCCCAAAGCTTTGGGAACCTGCACCCACGTGGGAGACCCGGAAGAGGCTCCTGGCTTCGGATCAGCATAGTATCGGCCCGTTGCACTCACTTGGGGAGTGAATCATCGGACGGAAGATCTTCCTGTCTCTCCTCCTCTCTGTATATCCGCCTTTCCAATGAAAAATAATAAAAATAAATCTTTAAAAAAAAAAATTCACTTATTGGGCCCGGCAGTGTGGCCTAGTGGCTGGGGTCCTCGCCTTGAATGCACTAGGGTTCCCATATGGGCGCCGGTTCTAATCCTGGAAGCTCCACTTCCCATCCAGCTCCCTGCTTATGGCCTGGGAAAGCAGTCGAGGATGGCCCAAAGCTTTGGGACCCTGCACCTGCGTGGGATACCTGGAAGAAGTTCCTGGATCCTGGCTTTGGATCAGCATAGCATCGGAAGTTGTGCTCACTTGGGGAGTGAATCATCGGACGGAAGATCTTCCTCTCTGTCTATCTTCTCTGTATATCTGACTTTGCAATATAAATAAATAAATCTTTTCCAAAAATCCCTTTCGATGTAAATTCTAACTCTGTTTCAGAGAGAGAGAACGTCCAGTAACAAAGGTTTGTTGAGTGTGATTCCATTCCACATGCTGTGCCAGAGTCCTTGGAACTTCAGTTAGGTCTTCCACATTGGTTCTGGATCCAGAGAACTTGGGTCATCCTCTGCTGCTTTTCCAGCAGGGAGTTCGATGGGGAGTGGGGCAGTCAGGACATGAAGCGGTGCACATGTGGCATGCTGATGCTTAATGATGGAGGATTACCTTGTTGAGACTGAGAGCCAGCCAGTCCCATAAATCTTTTAATCAATATATATCCTGGGCCCGGCGCGGTGGCGCAAGTGGTTAAAGGTCCTCGCCTTGCACGCCCGGGATCCCATATGGGCGCCGGTTCTAATCCCGGCAGCCCCGCTTCCCTTCCAGCTCCCTGCTTGTGGCCTGGGAAGGCAGTCGAGGACGGCCCAAAGCTTTGGGAACCTGCGCCCGCGTGGGAGACCCGCAAGAGGCTCCTGGCTTCGGATCGGCATAGTATCGGCCCGTTGCGCTCACTTGGGGAATGAATCATCGGATGGAAGATCTTCCTCTCTGTCTCTCCTCTCTGTATATCCGCCTTTCCAATGAAAAAATAATAAAAATAAATCTTTAAAAAAAAAAAAAAAATCAATATATATCTAAGAATTTTTTCAAGCACTCTTGTATATCTATGTTTTAAAAGCAGGAGATTGCATAGGACTGTAATGTATATAGTTACATATTATACACATATAGTGTAGAATATTAAAATACTTATGCACAGGTTATACAACCATAGAAAATGTGTTTATTATTTATACACATAAATTGGTTTATGAAGAAAAATACTAATATCTAAGCAACAAAATAGAAAAAAAATTCTACTGCGATATAAATGCTGAACATACAAGGAAAGTTGAGGCAACACCTTTTATCTGTTACTTCTGCAACTAGAACTTAAGCACCAGCATGGTGATGTAGCAAGTTAGGCCCAGTTATGTGCCAGCATACCATATGGGTACCAGTCTGAGACCTGGATGCTCCACTTAAAATCTGACTCACTTCTAATGTACCTGGGAATGTGGTGGCAAAGTTCAGTTAGTAACTATACAAATAGCTTTTACTATCTACAACTGTGCTTAAAAAACCTATCTACAAGATTCAAAGAGCTGGGTTCTGACCTTAGGTTTCCTGACTAGTTTTTGATTTTGTTTTCCTTTTCCTATTATGCTGCCTTTCTAAAGATGAAGAGCAACTGGCATTGTGGCATCGTATCTTAAGCCACCACTTGCAAATGCAGCATCCCATATTTGACTGCCAGTAGAGTCCCACGAGCTTAGCTTCCCAGTCAGCTCCCTGCTAATGTGTCTGAGAGGACAGCAGAAATTGCCCAGGTGTTTGGTACCCTGCCACTCACAGAGGCCAAAATACAATTTGCGACTCCTGGTTTCTGCCTGAATTGGCCCTGCCCACTGTGATCATTTCAGGGGTAAACAAGTAGTCAGTTATTCCCTCCTTCCTTGCCTGTCACTCTCTCTTTCAAACAAACAATTAAACAAAACGTTTTACTTTAAAAAGCATCAAGAAATCTGACTCACGATTTAACAACCACTGGATTAGGTAGAAATCCATATTCCATAGAATCAGAAACACGATGATTTTCTAGTTCTTGAGAGCCACTCAGCTGCTCCCCACTATTAGCAAGAGTCCAGTTGGGTCCCCAACCAATTCGAAATGAGCGTCCCATAAATAGAGCCATGTCCATCAAGAGTTTCCCCTTGCCATAGGTGATAGACTTTTTAAGAGGGACTAGGCCTGGTTGCCTGCGTGTACCGACTGTTTTCAACTGAATCTCGGGGGCTGGGCTGGGCACTGTAAACACAGCAGTCAGGGGTGGAGGCAAGGTCCAAGTTGATGTGGCTGGGACACTCATTAAAGATGACGCTCTGGGAGTATGAAACTCTTGCACAGAGGCACTTGGTGAAAGGAAAGTTCCACTTGTAAATTTTGATTGTAGTAATCCACCAACTGAAAGGAGAAAAAAAAGATTATTATGATCTACTGTTCCCCAAATAACACAAGTCAGCTGAGACAAAACCATCCTACTAATTAAATCACACATACATGACCAGAAGAGATTTATTATTCATAGCAACTATTATCTCAACCAAGAGCTACAATGACGATGGCGTCAACACTAAGAACAATACTTGCTAATACTAAACTTAAACAATATGTATCTAGCACTTAATTGTAGCATACTGTGTAAGCAGCCTATGTACATTCCAAATTAATTTCATTCTTCAATAACAGCACCATCACCATCTCATCCTTTAAGTGAAAAAAACTGGGTTCAGTCAAGTGTTGGCTTGCCCAAATCCAGAAATGGAAGCGCAAGGATTGAAAGTTCAGTCCAGAGAGGTCTGTCTCCAATGCTATGCCATACCAGAACCCAGAATTTGGGAGCCTGTACTGTGGAACAGTGGGTTAAGCCACTACCTGGAGTGCCAGTTCAAGCCCCAGGTATATTGCTTCCAATCTTGCTTCTTATTAATACAACTAAGAGAAAAGCTGAGGATGGCCCAAATACTTGGGCTACCTGCTATTTATACTGGAAACCTGAAGAAGTTCCTGGCTCGTCAGTTTGACCTGGCCTAGCCTGAACTTGGTCATAGCTGCTATTCAGGGAGTGAATCAGCAGATGAGAGATCTCTGTGTGTCTCATTTCCCTTCTATCATTCTGAATTTATATAAATAAATACCTTAAAAAAAAAAAGTTTGGGAAGATTATATAAAAATAGTTCATTTATGTACATATTATGGGGGAAAAAAATACAGAAAATAGGACTTTTAGATGTTTTCACCACAAAGAAATCTTAATGTTTGAACAAATACATTTCCTAAATGGACACTTATACAATTTATATAGTATCCAAAAGTTACATGGAATTCCAAGCTTATTAAACTACAAAAAGTAAATAAATAAAAAAGGGCAGCATTAAGGCAAAGCACATCAAGTTGCTGCCTACAAAGTTGACATCCCACAAGTGCTGGTTTGAGTCCCAGATGTTTTACTTCAGATGTAAAACTTGGTAAGGTCAAATATCAAAACTGAAGTTCCAATCCTGTAACCCTCAGTGCCAGCAAATCTTATGATTGTACATTTGCTTTTCTGAATTGTTTATTACTATTGCCTATCTCACAATCTTTTAGAAGATTTATTTATTTGTCTGAAAGAGTGACAGAGAAAGAGATCGATTTTTTCTTTTATTTCAAAGATGGATTTACAGAGAGCAAAGTAGGGACAGAGAAGCATCTTCCATGTGTTGGTTTATTCCCCAAATGGCTGCAATGGCTGGAACTGAGACGACTGGACACCAGGAGTCAGTAACTTCTTCTGGGTTTCCATATGCGTGCATGGGCTCAAGGACTTGAGCCATCTTCTGTTACTTTCCCATGTCATATCAGCGAGCTGGATTGAAGGTGGTGCAGCCCAGAATCAAACTGGCACTCAAAGGGGATGTCATGTCACAGACAAAAGCTCACTTCACAATGCCATGGTGCCAGCTTTGAGAGATCATTCTCATAATGATTCAGTCTCCCAAATGGCTGAAACAGGCAGGTTTGTTTCAGGTGAAGATCAGGAACCAGAATCTCCAACCCATTATCTAACAACGTGCAGTTGGGTTGCTATCTGCTACCCTCCCAGGTAGTTTGAAAGCAGAGCAGCCAGGATTCAAACGGGTATTTCAATATGCCATGTCAGCATCACATTGGGAGCTTAAAATTCACTGTGCTACAGCAGTATGGTTCTTCTCTAAAGCACAAAATTAAAACTATTAAAAGTATATATGATTACAGGTTGGTGCTGGTTTAGGTGCTAGCTGCTCTGCTTTCCACCCATCTTCCTGCTCACATGCCTGGGAAGATAGTGCATGCTGGCTCAACAAGCTCTTGGGTTCCTATCATCCACATGGGAGAACCGGACAGAGTTCTAGGCCACTAACTTCAGCTTTGCTCATCCTAATTTGTTGTGGCCATATCTAGGTAGGGAACCACCAGAAGGGAGCTCTCTATTACTCTCAGGTTCGAGTAAGTAAACAAACACTTAGGGTCCAGTAGGACGCTCAACAGAGCTCCAAACTGATGGCTTTGACATGGCTTGGTCCTATTTGCTGTAGGCATTTGGGGATTTAATCAGCAGATGGAAGATCCTTCTCTGTTGCTCTATTTAAGTAGATGAAAATTAAATACACAACCCTTATGGTTTATTATAAAGAAAATCAAAAGGAACAGAAACTACAAAGTGTTTCACTTTTAGCAAATTTTGTTCAAATCAAAAACCTTATCTAAGTAGTAGAGATGAGGAAACGGTGAAAAATAACTATGCCTTCTGCTGCTCTAACCCCAAATGCTGACTAAAATTGGAGATCTGGCCAGGTTGAAACTGGCAGGCAGGAACTCAATCCTGGGAGGCAGAGATACAACTACATAGGCTATCAAGTGCTGCCTCTCAGGGTTCATATGAGCAGGAAGATTGAACCAACTTTACCATAGGCACTCCAGTATGGTATGCAGGTATTCAAAACAGTGCCTGAAGGGCCTCTCCACAGGTCTACCACTTGACAGCTCCTGAATGAAGTGTTTGGTTGACAGCAAAACTCACTCTACCTAGGTATAGTCCACGATATCCAACAGGGACAGTTTAGGAATTTATGTGTACTGTCAAAAGTATAGGTTGTCCTAATTTGGCACTGAATTTAGGACTGCAGAAAGAGTTCAGGATATGACAATTTGTTCAATCCTCTAAATAACTTGTGATAAGTTAGAAATTGGTGGTTATTATCTAATTCATTCACAAGCAAACAAAAACATAATACTAAACAAAGCAAATGCTTGGCATAACTTCCTATATCTTCATCAATAGAAGTAGTTATATATCTTGATACACATATTTATAAGAGTACACGCTTAATATCCTTATGTCATTGGTAGGGCTGTAAGGGAGATACATTCTAGAAGTCCATTCAGTATAGGAGATACATGAAAAGCAGAGCTTGATGATATTACAGCTTTCTTGTAAAAGAATATGTCTTATACACTACCTAGCGAACGCGATTTTGATGAGTGGGACGCTGAAATGGGGAGTCTGGGAGAACAGATTTCTTGAGAAGTATCTGCTTTGGAAGGAAGGTGACTGAAGCGTTGATCCAGCATCATATCTACATCTTCTTCTTCAGTAAGCAATGATGCTTTCATGATCTAAAAGGCAATGCAAACACAAATACATATAAACAATGTGCTCTTACAAACATATAAACAATGGACTCAAAAAAGTCCATTTTAAAAATACAGAAAACCCCCCCCCCCAAAAAAAACCCTCTCTCCTAAAGACTGTGTCCAGAAATAGTTAACACTTATGTGATTGTCTAGATGACAATACATGTAAATAAAGGCAAAAGTCAGCATAAGCCTTTGTAGCTGTAAGATTCTACCCACACCAATTGCTCCAGTTTGCTGAATAAGTAATTTTGAAATCAGACAAAACACAAGCAATAACCTAAACTCACACCAAAAGGCATGGGTAAAGCAAAGTAGAAAGAGCTTAAAGAAACTTATCAACGAGGATTTGGTTTTTTTTGTTCAATTTTTAAATTTTGTGGAATACTTTGCAGAGCCTTGAAACCGCCCTGTAAACCAGTTACATTTTAGAGAGCTGTCAGTGCTCATAGATGTTAAATAACTTCAATGTCATATAATAATAAAGTTACAAAAATGGGATCAGAACCCTGATCATCTAACACAATTAAAGAAAAGAAAATGTGTTATCTTCTAGTGTCAATATGACCATCCTTCTCTGAGCGGAAAAACAATGCTCAAATATTGACCATATTCTTTTGTTTTCCTCATAAAGTGAACACTCAACAGTCTTATACTAAATCTGGTGTTACACAAGAGGTAAAATAGTAGTTTGAGTTTCTGCAGTAGGAACTACAGATTAGAACATCACCTGTAAAACATGTGGATTAATTCCCAGTGAAGAAGCAATGTGCGTGGAAGCAGACACAGGTTCCTGATCTTCAGCCACGCTCTCTTCTAGCATGGAATCCAAAACTGGCTCCTGGGTGATATCTATCATGTCACTGTCCAGTTCCACAACCCTCCCTAACTGTTCCACCTCTGGGCTCTGACTCTGTAGACAGCAGAAACATCAGGGAAGCAGCATTAAATTAACTCAAACACAGAGCTTCTATATCAGAGTTACTTTATTCAGAACATGATCCAACAATATTAGATTCTGCCCTTGTCATCATGAGATGCTAAAGATAATTTAACATTAATTATCCCCAAATCAACCAGTAAGTATTTGGCCTCTGAATAAAGATTCATGGAATCATTCTCTTGCAATAAAAAATATTCAGAAACAAAAGGTTGTGTCTTACCTGAATGAGCTAACAATCACAATTTTCTGATTTACATAGTATCACCCTGCCCTCATATTGCCTTGTAGCCAGACAATGGGAAGAGAGAATACAAGGTACAAATATCAAAGAGTCTAGCAACGTCACATTTTTTAAAAAAGAACACAATTAGAAATAAATGTCTAGTTGATATAACCTATCTTCTGAGTGACCAAATCCCAAGATTAGTTAGCCTTCACTTGGCAGTACCATGTAAAATATAAATGAGGAATGCTTACTCTTCATTTCTATGTGCGAGTAGGATTTATCTGTTAGCACAGTCTCTAAACTAAAAACTATAGCAGAGAGCAGAGATAATAACGTGAAGTTGGTTGTTTTTACGTTTTCTGGTGCTTAGATATATTTAATTATTTATTTATTTATTTATTTTTGGAAAGGCATATTTCCAGAGAGAGTAGAAAGATCTTCTCTCCATTAGTTCACTTTGATGAACTAGCAATGGCTGGAGCTGTGCCAAAATGCAGTCAGGAGCTTTTTCCACGTCTCCCACATGTGTGCAGGCAGGCAGCTAGATGAAAAGTGGAGCAACGAGGACACAAACTAAAGCCCATAAGGGATGCCTGTACTTACAAGTCAAAGATGAGCCAGTGGAGTCACTGCACTGGCCCCTCAATTATCTTTTAGAAACAAAAGCAAAAACCAATGGAAGAGGCCATTTCAACTCCTGTTGCTCCATCTCCAATTCAGCACTCTGCTAACAAAACTGGAAAAGCATTGGGAGACAGTCCAGAACTTGTGTTCTTGCTACCGATGGAGGAGGAAGCCTGGATGGAATTCCAGGCATCAGGCTTCAGGTTGGCCCAGCCGTGGTTGCTGTAGTCATTTCAGAGTGAACAGATCTCTGTCGTTCCACCTCTCTCTAATGCTGTCTTTCAAATGAATCTTTTAAAAACCAGAAGCAAATTAAAAAGGGGGGAGGAGATTATGAATTTTAAATAAAGAGTATTGGAATAAATGTGGCCTTTAAATAAATATGAAAATCTAAAGAAATATCTGGGCCTGGCGTGATGGCTAATGGCTAAGTCCTTGCCTTGTATGCACCGGGATACAATATGTCCCAGCTGCTCCACTTTCCTGCTTGTGGCCTGGGAAAACAGTACAGGATGGCACCTGGCTCCTGGCTTCAAATCAGCTTAGTTCTGGCCTTTGCTGCCAACTGAGGAGTGAACCAGTATATGGAGGATCTTTCTGTATCTCTCCTTCCTTCTGTAAATCTGCCTTTCCAATAAAAAATAAATAAATCTTAAAAAAAAGGGAGGGGAAGAAAACACAGTTAACTTAATAGGCCTGGCACAACAGTCTAGTGGCTAAATCTTTTTCATTTTTGTTTTTCATTCGCAGGAATCCCATATGGAATCTATCTCTTCAATAAAAATAAATAAATCTGTACATCCTTAAAAACAAAAAGTCCCCTGGTTTCACCCTGACCAATACCCCTTCAGGAAGAAGTCCAAATTTTTATACAAGAAAAATAAACATAAGCACATATTTCAGGAAAAATTAACATGGGCATCTATTGCTTCAATGAGCCAGGACAACGTGAAGACGTCATCTTTAGACTTGGTGAGAAAACCTTTCACCGAGAAGGCTCAGATATGTTTTCCATGCCAAGAAACTGCACTGTTCTGAATGCTAATAACTAACACCAGCATAGAGTTCCCTGGTCAATATGAAAAAGAACTTTTCAACAGTTCAACATTATCGTTCTAACACACTTCATCAACAATTAAATAATCAAAACCTAAAGGCTGGATACCTCAACACTTTAACTCATTTCTCTCATTTCTAATCCCCTCAACCAAACAGCGAAAACATAATTTACTTCTTTAATTAAAGGTAGACAGGGAAGAAGATTCCCTATTTATTGTATTTTATTTGCACACTTCGAATGTTTATCACCTTCCGCTGGGTCAGAATCTCATGGCTCTCAAAAATTTTGTTCAGTTTTTCAGAGTTCTTACCTACTGAATCATCATTGTGAGAATTTAGATACTTTCCAGGACTTGTGCTCTATCAATTAAAGAGCTTAGTTCCAACTCCTGGCCAAAATTACATAAATTCATCCAATCTGTCCATAGACATTTCTAAGTTGTATTTAATTATCCTAAGTACTACTTTATTAGCAAGAAAGATAATTTTCTCTGACTTCTCAAGAGATATAGGTAAGATAAAAAAAAAACGTTTTAGGAAGAAAGGGATCATACAAGCATATCATTCAAACGAAATGAACACAGCTAACTGGAAAAAGTATTCTTTACAGCATTTTGTTAGTTAAATAGATTTCTTCCGTATTTTAAATGGTACAAAGATTAGAAACATGTCAGTGTAATTCCAGCTTTCTGTTATCATCATAGTCCCTTCATTTACCCTGTACACACAAACATGAACATACACAGGCAAAATTCGTTAGAAAATGCCACCCAAGAAATTATTTAATAAATCACAAAAAGTGCACATGTCAGCAGCCATAAGAACTATAGCACACAAAATGCCAACCAGCTCCTAGCAGCTGAGAGGTAGTAGATGCTTTACAAAAAAATCCTCTGATAAGAATTCTTTAAGAGAAAAGTATCAGGAAAAAAATATTCTTAAAACTTGATTAACTATATAAACAATATTCAATTTAAGTAAAATTCTTTAGAGTTGGCATTCAAAGAATCTACATGATATTTAAATTACAAAACTTCCCGTATAAAGACAAAATGTTTCCACTGGCTTACCACCACTGGGAGAATATGAAACAAATGACTGCAATAAACACTGAAGCTATTCTTTCCCCAGGCCAAATATTTCATTTGCATTCTAAAATTATATTTTCATAAAGATTATGATTAAGACATAAATATCAAGATATTATCTGAAGTGTAAGCAAACAACTTAGAAAAATGGAATTAAAAACCTTTCCAGAAAGCTATTTTAACTTTCAGAAAAAAAAAAAAAAAAAGGTGAAAATCAGGAACAAGATTAAACCGCACATAAGGTAATCAATAGTAAGATTTTCTTTGCATTAACCCAAACAAGTGCTATGATAAGCTGGTCATTGAGCAGAGAATTCACCAAGTCCAAATAAGGGAGATGATAAAAAATATGACAATCTCTAGAGGAATGATCCAAATAGCAAGATGATTCTTTAAATTTCTCAAAAAACAGATATGTAAACCATGTGCCCTCCCTCGTCCTCTCAACGTTATTGCCAATATATTTGTACTCTTCAAAGTTCCAGTGGTCACAAACAGCTTTGTACTAGCTGAATGACTTCTTTGAACTTCTGCATCATGATTCCACTGAAATTCATTGTCCTTTCTCTACCTGAGGTGGAGGTGCAGGTTTGCCATTAAGAGCGGCCTGAAAGGGGGTAGTGTGGCCAGCAGGGGGCAAAGGGGCAGTCTTCAGCTTCTTTGTGCTAGTTTTAGATGGACGCTCCTCTTCCTCTTCATCGGAATCCTGAAGGCCATACTTAGAAAAATGAGAGACCTAACAAAGAGAAGAGACCAACAAAATCAATTTTAATACTGTTCTATTCAATATTTTCCACAATATTTGCCAAAGCAAGCTTATATTATTTAGCTAAAAAAAAAAAGATTAAAATATTTATAGAAGTATCAAATGCTATCATACTTTCTCTGTGATTAACAATATATCATACATACAGTAGCTGCTTATACAATAAATTTTGTGAATGTAAAAATACCATTTAATCATGTATTTAAAAAGTTTATTTAAAATGCAGTGTGACACGAATGAGTAAGAATGAGAGAGATCTCTTCCACTGCTGAATGACTACTCAAATGGTTGCAAGGTTTAGGGCTGGGCGAGGACAAGGCTAAGAGTGTCCCATGTGAGCAGCAGTGTCCCAAGTACTTGGCTAGTCTCTGCTAGCAGGAAGCTGGATGACACAGAAGTGGAGCTGCTGGGACTCAGGTGCCACAATGTTAGCACCTAAGAAGACATTTTAAATTGTATTGTCAATAGAGGAAAGAGTCTAAAAGTAGCTACTATTTTCATATAATACACACATATTGCATATAGACTTCAACTAGTTATATAATCAAAATACTCTACAAGAAGAATAAATCATATAGTAACACTATCACGGATAAAATCAAGTCAGCTCTTCCAACTCCCTAAAATCTATACAAGTAATAACATCAACACTTTACAATGTATCCAAATTTTGACATAAAGCAAAGACAAATCACATGTTCATGAAGTATCATTGGGCCTGGCACAATGACTTAACTAACTAAACATTCACTTCCAAGCACCAAAATTCCATATGGGTGCTAGCACATATCCTGGCTGCTCTGCTTCCCATCCAGTTCCCTGCTTGTGACCTGGGAAAACAATGGAGGAAGGCTCAAAGCCTTGGGACTTGCACCCATATAAGAGAAAATGAAGCTCCTGGCTTCAGATCAGTTCAGACTTGGCCTTTTTCACCATTCTGGAATTGAACCTGCACATAGAAAACCTTTTCTTCTCTGTCTCTGCTTTTCTCTACACATCTGCCTTTTCAGTAAAAATAAATGAATACATATAAAGGCAGAATCAGAATCATATAACAATTACTGAGTTTCTGAAACAGGTGTGTAAGTTAGAACCAATAGGGCCTGACACAGCAGCATAGTGACTAAACTCCTTGCCCTGCACGCAGCGGGAACCCATCCGGGCGCCAGTTCTAATCCCAGTTGCTCCACTCCCCATCCAGCTCTCTGCTTGTGGCTTAGCAAAGCAGCCGAGGACAAGCCAAGACTGTGGGACCCTGCACCAGTGTGGAGACCTAGAAGCTCCTGGTTCCTGGCTCTGGACTGGCTCAGCTCCAGCTGTTGCAGCCACTTGAAAAGTGAATCGGTACATGGAAGAGCTTCCTCTCTGTCTCTCCTTCTCTGTGTATCTGACTTTCCAATAATAATAATAAACACATCTTTAAAAATAAAATAAAATACACATTTCTAGGAATGAGAGAATTTAAATGTAATGTTTCAATACTAATACTTTGTGACTCCAACCGGAGTTTCGAAAAGAAAAGGATTAAATGACTATACCTTAAACACCCAAGAACCAGTTTCAGGCCGGTACTCTTTGAACTGGGCTCCCTGTTTTCTTGACACTGCTTCCAATCTCCCCTCGTAGTTGATATCAGCAAGACGGTCTGGGCTCTTTATCAAACAACGGGAAGTTTTATCTGTTGGCCAAACCCCATCCAATGTCACTTCCGCCTTCCTACAAAGTACAAACAAGCAATGTGTGAATATTTCATATTCAAAACAAAAACCCAACTAACACCTGCACACAAACAAGAGTAGCTATTTTATCTTGAAATTAGCAATTATTCTGGAGATGTTCTGAACTGAATTTTGCCTCCCACAATTAGAGGCTTCAGAACAAGCAGGCAGCACATATCAACCAACTTAAATTGTGGTTCAAGATTCAGACTGCGTTTACCTCAAACTATCTGGGTACATTAATTATTTCAAACAAATTTAGTAAGATTAAAAATTTTTGAACTTAGTTATTTTCACTGCAGTTTAAGACCTATAACCTTGGGCCCGGCACAATAGCATACTGGTTAAAGTCCTCTCCTTAAACGCACCAGGATCCCATATGGGCGCTGGTTCTAATCCCAGCAGCTCCACTCCCCATCCAGCTCCCTGCCTCATTTTTCTCAACTTTTTTGAGGAGGACTGGTGTTAACTCTTCTGTAACACTTGGTAGAATTCAAAAGTGAAACTGGCCTTTCTAGTGTGAAGTTTTAAATTTATTTATTTTTATTAGAAAGTCAGATTTACAGAGAAAGAGTTTCCATCTGTTGGTTCACCCAAGTGGTCGCAATAGCTGAAGCTGAGCAAATCAGAAGCCAGGAGTCAGGAACTTCTGGGTCTCCCACAGAGGCACAGCGCCCCCAAGACTTTGGGTCACCCTTGACACCCTTGCCAGGCCACAAGCAGGGAGCTGGATAGGAAGTGGAGCAGCCAGGGCACAAACTGAAGCCTATTTGGGATCCCAGTGCATGCAATGTGAGGACTTAGCCACTGATCCATCACGCTGGGGCTCACTGTGAAGTTTTAAACAATTAATTCAATCTCCTTAGTTATAGCTCCTGTGAAATTTTCTATGTTTCATTATCTTGGCTTGGCAAGTTACAAAGATAAATAAATGCACCTTTCATGTTCCTGCTAAGATATTAGGGATCAAATTCTAAAAGAGATAGTATTCTTCCGAGAAGAATAAAAAAGAACATAGTATTTTTCATGGCCAGTGTTGTGACGCAGAGGGTTAAACTGATGGCTGTGATGCTGGTATCCCATGTGCATCTAAGTCTGAGACTAGACTACCCCACTTCCAAACATGCCCAGGAAAAGCTCCCTGCTTGTGGCCTGGGAAAGCAGTCGAGGACAGCCCAAAGCCTGGAGATCTTGCACCCACACGGGAGACATGGAAGGCACTCCTTGCTCCTGGCTTCAGATTGGCTTAGCTCCATCTGTTGCAATCATGTGGCAGTGAACCAGCAGATGGAATATCTTTCTCTCTGTATCTCCTTCTCTCTGTATCTTTCCAATTAAAAATAATTAAATATTAAAAACAAAACCTTATGTTCTAATCCATTAAAAAAAAAAGGGGGTGTTAGAACTCTTAATGTTTACGATAAAACCATAAGATGTAGCTATTAAATTTAGCTATTACCTTTATGTAAATAAATTCTTACCTATTTAGTCCTTCTCCCACAGGGGGTTTTTGGTTATCATCAATGTAGACAATGACTTCTTTTCTTCGGATATGCACGATATCATCTAAATTTAGATTCGTCAAATTCACATCTCCTTCAAAGTAGATTGAACCATAACCTACAAATCAGAACAAATAGTTAAAAAATACATTCTGCATAGCACATAAAATGCTTTGGGATTAATCATTAATCAATATTTTTAAATTTAATAATTTCAAATATAAGAATAATCAGATGTGCTTATCAAGTTTCCTTTGAGTTTAAAAACAGGGTGCAAACTTCTGGCCTGCACATTACCTCCTGCACTCACACTCACCTTTACGACCAATAGTGAAGTCAGAGACAATACACTCTCCTTTTTCATTGGTAATTTTAGCAAGGTCATCCAAGGATGGAATAGTATAGTAACCAACTTTAGTGAGAATAATTCCTATGACAAAAAATAAAGAAAGTTTATTTTTATGTAAAGGATTCTCTCGCAGCGATTCATAACTGGTAAACCATCTAAACCACTTGAGCAAGAACCTCGGAGTATGCCCTACATCCGGGACTTGGGGTGGGTGGGAAACTGAGTGGGCCTTCTCCCTTAATATTCCCCCTTTAAGCATGAAGGAAAAAATATGGAAATAATGGTCTTACCCACTTTCCTATAGCCCTTGAACCTTTTTATCCTAATTTGCTTCGTAAAGATTGTCAAAAATATAATTAAAAAAAAGAAGAAGAAGAAGAAGAAAAAAAATAACAACACTTATCTTACTTTGTTCGAAGGCCTGGCACTCTGGCGAAGTCTGCCAGTGGGTACCAGTCTGAACCCGAGCTGCTCCAATTCAGATCTAGCTCCTGCTTATGTGTGTGGGAAATTAGAGGAAAATGTCCCAAGGATCTGGGCCCCTATATCCACAAGGGAGAGCCAAATGGAACTCCTGGCTCCATCCCTGGTCTGGTCTAGCCCTGCCCATTTTAGCCAATTCGGAAGTAAACCAGGGAATGGAAGATAAATCTTTCTATAAATCTGTACTTCAAATAAATTTTCTAAAACCTAAGTATTTTTCCAAATTATACGGTATAATCTACAAAGTATCAAATAAAGTGGAAACATAAAAGGAATATGTACATATATACATTTTAACAACACACTTAACGAAGTCTAAACTTTCCTTAATTATATCTTTATCCAATTGAATCAATCATAGAGTACTCCTTTAAATAATGCCTATTAATAACCTGCACTATAAAAATCTTCTGATTGCATACATTCCAGGAAGTAAATAGTTAATCTATTTCTGTTTTATTTACACATAAATATACCTGCCTTGGCTTATAATGTAATTTTATGCTACAGATGGTGATAAAATTCCAAATTTTCTATGTATTATTTAACAGTCTACTGTCTCCCATAAGTTAATATTCAAGTGTACATTCTCACACAGGTAAAATCAAGACAAAAATTATACAGGAAAAGCAGTGACCAATGAGACCAACAAGTCATCTCAAGTGCTTGCTAATGACATGTATCTGAACCTCACCTGCTGGGTGCACATGGTACGCGTTATTTTCTACATCCTCTCGATCATCCTGTAATGACTCATCATGGAAAGAAGTTTCTTCACTGCTTCCTTCCAGTCCATTTCTTAGAGCAACACGCATGTTTAACGCAACGATTGTGTCATCCACACTGTTACTGTTGTTGTGCTTATTGCCAGCACTCTCTGGGGTTTGAGGAATTGGTTTTGCAATGGGATTGGTATAAAAACGGGATACAAGAGAGTCATCATCACCATCCTGATGGTTCTCATCAACAGGCTTGCTCAGGAAACTAAATCTGGAAAGAGATAAAAGAAAGCAACAGATGGAAGGCCTTTCCTGTCAATCTGCCTTTCCAATAAAAACCAATAAAAAATAAAACACTAATAAAATAAAAATCCATGCATAAACAAGCTTTCAAAGTATATATAACTTCACTTTCTCCCTTTATAAATGTTATCTGGTTACAATGAAAATGTTTCCTTTAATAATCAAATTGACAAAATCAAATACTAATGGGAAATGAAGAATTCATATTTTGGAGAGCTGATTCAAAAGTTACATAACTCTAAGGTTGACAGTGCTCAAAATGCAAAAGCATGCTCAATTCCCAGTATTCACAAGCTATAATACTTGTATTCAATATCTACAAAGCATCCTAAATTTTCACAAAATTTTTTTATTCTAGAATTTGCAAACCACAGTTACACATAAAGTAACAGATTTTCTACCTGCTGGGTCACTCTGCAGATGACTTTAATCTCTGGGACTGGGCAAGGCAAAAGCCAGGAACCAACAGATTATTCTAGGTCTTCCACATGAGTGAAGGGGCCTAAGCTCTTGAGGAACCCTCTGTTCACTTTTTTCAGGAAATGAGCAGGAAACTGAATCAGTAATTGAGTGGGGAGTATGGAAAACACAAACTGGTGCCCATAGGGAATGGCAATGTTTGTATATGCTTTAGCACAATGCCAGTTCCAAAGGTACATTAACTTCTAAGCAGAGTGAAACTGGACTTGGGGTCTAATAGGTTAAGCCACAACCTGCAATGGAGATATTCCATATGTAGGCCAGTTTGAGTACCGGCTGCTCCACTTCCAATCCAGCAATCTGCTAATGTGCCTAGGAAAGCAGTAGGAGATTGCGTAACTGCTCAGACCCTTACAAACAACTGGGGGACCTAGATCAAACTCCTGGATCCTGTCTTCAGAGCAGTTTAGCTCTAACTGTTGCAGCCATCTTGGGAGTGAACCAGTGGCTAGAAGAACTTTTTCTTCCTCTGCTACTCTCTCAATGTAACTCCACCTTTCAAATACAACAATCTTTAAAAAAAAAAAAAGAAAAGCTGATGATCACTTGAAAATGAGAATGAGATAAAGGCAAAACAGGACTCAGTTACCTTTCTCCATTTTCTGGATATTCAGATGGTGAAGCAAGATCTTCTGAATCACGATTCACAGGAGAAAAGAGGTTGCTATTGTTAAGGTTCTTTAAAACCAGTTTCTTAATGCTTTTCCTATACGTAGACATTAAAGGAAAACAAAAGTTAAGCAGTATCTTAAAAATTGCAGTACAAACTTTTCTTTCAGCTAAAAATGATATAACAAGCTCTACTAAAAAACTTTATAGACCTGTGTAATCAGAAAGAAAGACCTCAAATATTTTACACTTTCAAATCTAAGTGCAAAATGCTCTTGAAAATTCCCCATTCACAATTCCTTTAGTACTTCATCCAAGGCTTAGTTCATTCATTTCACAAAGTCAATACATGTATACAGAACACACAGTGTTGTTTGTCCTAAAGAAAACAGGACAACAGGATATTGTCCACTAATGGACTAAATAATAGATTTCTGCTCTCTCTCGTCCTTCCCTCTGCCTTCAAACAGCAGCAGCCCATATGGGCATCAATGTGTCCCAGGAACACTATTTCTGATTCAGGTATATGCTTAGGGCCTGGAAAACCAGTGGAGGATGCCACAAGACCCTGGGCCCCTGCAATCAAGTGGGAAACCCAGAAGGGGCTCCTGGTTCCTGGCTTTGCGCTAGCCCAGCTTTAGCAGTTGCAGCCAATTAGGAAGTGAACCAGCAGATGAAAATCTGTGTGATTGTCTTTTACCCTCCATCTCTCTGACTTTAAAGTTTAAAAAAATAAATAAAAAGAAAATACATCATTTAAAAAATCTTTATATAAATTGTGGTTATACGAGAAGTGATGTCTTATATGGAGACACTGTATATTTTAGTTTTTTTTTTTTTTAAGATTTATTTATTTATCCTTGGGCCCAGTGAGATAGCCTACCAGCTAAACACACCAGGATTCCATATGGTCACCGGTTCTAATCCCTGTGGCCCCACTTCCCATTCAGCTCCCTGCTTGTGGCCTGGGAATGCAGTCGAGGACGGCCCAAAGTCTTGGGATCCAGCACCCGTGTGAGAGACCAATAAGAGCCCCTGGCTCCTGGCTTCGGATTGGCGTAGTACCAGCCATTGCAGTCACTTGGGACAGAAGGTCTTTCTCCTTCTCTCCGTATATCTGACTTAGCAATAAAAATAACTAAATCTTTCAAAAAAATTTATTTTTATTAGAAAGGCAGATTTACAGCAAGAAACAAAGTCCTTTCTTTCTTACAGCGACCCACTGGTGTTCTTTCCCCAAGTGGCTGCCAATGGCCGGAGCTGATCGGCTCTGAAGCCAGGAATTTCTTTCAGGTCCCCAAGTGGGTGCAGGGTACCATGGCCTTGGACCATCATCTACTGCTTTCCCAGCCTTTAAGCAGGGAGCTGGACAGCAAGTGGAGCAACTGGGACATGAACTGGTACCTTTATGAGATCCTGGTGCTTGCAAGGATTTATCTACTGAGCTATTACTCCAGGCCCAACACACAATGTTTTATTAAGTATTATATTTGCATTACATTTAAATAACTACACACTGTTTTAAATTCATTTTATATCAGCGTTTTATAGCTACTTTATGCTAATAAAAATAAACTCACTTGGGCATGAATGCTCCATTGGCAAGAGACGGTTCATCGTCATCCAGCCCATCAAAGAGCTGTGACTTGGCGGTGCCTGTTGTCTGCAGGGCTTTTGGCCGAACTCTGGTGGCAGGACGAGGTGTCAATTTATAATGAGTAGGTGTGGTAAGAGCTTTCTGGGCTGCTGGATTAGTTGGTTTCAATCTCTGTAAAACAAGAAATATCAGAAAAAGTTCTAGTTTATTTCAAATACCTAGGATGGATTTTAAAAGCCAGAGGAACAGAATTTAAATACTTTTCAATGTTTTAAAAAGAATTACTTATCACTTTAAAATGTATGTTGAAAGGCAAATTTACAGAAAAAGACAATCTTTTAGTCACTGCTTTAAGCCCTAAAAGACCAGAAGAGTGGGCTGGGTATGTCCAAAATCAACAGCCCAAAGATTCTTCTGAGTCTCCCAAATGAAATCAGGGGCAAAAGCACTTGGGCCACCTTTACTGCTTTCACAGGCATGTTATCAGTGGACTGGAGTGCAGCAGCCAAGATCTGAAATGGTGCACAAGCACTCAAGCATTGCAGTCAGAGCTTTAACCTATAAGCCACAACACAGGGTTCAGAATTAAAATCGAATCTGTATTTTTACCTGCAAGAAAATGTCTGAGTCCTAACCATAGCCAACAAAGCTTCACATTCAACACACGATTTACTCACATATGAATGGTGATGGAACATTTATTTCTCTAATTGTGTTTTACTCATCTGTTCAGTTCCTATTTCTTCTTCTTTTTAAAAATATTTATTATTTTTATTGGAAAGGTGGATATACTGAGAAGAGGAAAGACAGAGAGGAAGATCTTTCATCCAATGCTTTACTCCCAAAGCGGACGCAACTGCTGGAGCTGAGCCAATCAGAAGCCAGGAGCTTCCTCTAGGTCTCCCATGTTGGTGGGTGCAGGGTCCCAAATCTTTGGGCTGTCCTCCACTGCTTTCCCAGGCCAGAGGCAGGGAGCTGGATGGGAAGCGGGGCTGCCGGGATAAGAACCAGCACCCATATGGGATTTCGGTGTGTATAAGGCAAGAACTTTTAACTGCTACGCTATCATGCCGGGCCCTCAGCTCCCATTTCAAGTGATATGTCTGATATCTTTGAAAATGAAAAATGAGACAATGGGTTTGATAAATATTTAAGAAAACTAAGGTTGTGGCATAGCAGGTAAGATTACTTCCTAAGATCATGAGATCCCACATGGTGACTGGATGGAATACCAAATGCTCCATTACTAATCCAGCTCCCTACCAATGCCCAGGAAAAGGCAGCAGAAGACACATGTGTGGAAATATCACACCCACATAGGAGGTTTGAAAGAAGCTACAGGTTTCAAATTGACCTAATCCTAATGCAGACATCTGGAAGGCGAACAAGCTGGTAAAAATCTGTCTCCCACTTTGTGATTTTGATGTTCACATTGATCAATGTCAAAAAGAAATGTGAAAACCACTTATCAATGAATACATTGGAATAATCTACATTATACCGATTTTTTCATCTTTGAAGAGTATTTAGCATGCATTTCTTTTCCCCAAAAAATTTATGTATTCTAACGAAAAGGCAGATCAGATTTACAGAAAGAAGGAAACACACAAAGATCTTCTATTCACTGGTTCACTCCCCAAGTGGCCACAATGGCTGGAGCTAAGCCAATCCAAAGCCAGAGCTACTTCCTGGCCTCCCACAAAGGTGCAGGGTCCCAAGGCTTTGGGCCATCTTCTACTGCTTTCCCTGGTCACAAGCAGGGAGCTGGATGGAAAATGGAGTAGCCAGCACATGACCCGGCACCATAATGGATAACAAGCCACAGCCCATATGGGATCACGGTGCTTCCAAGGCGAGGTTTTACCCGCTGAACCACAGCACTGGGCCCCAGGAGTTTTGCACTGTAAAGTAAACATAATGGACTCTACATCACTTTAAGAAAACATATACCAAAAAAAATCCTAAGTCACAGAAATTATTTCTCAATTAAAACTAGGATTCAAGTAAAATTAAGGTTCAGTCATGAAATATACACGATCAAAACATGTTGAGGGGTCTGGCGCGATGGCGCAAGTGGTTAAGGTCCTCGCCTTGCACACCCGGGATCCCTTTTGGGTGCCGGTTCTAATTCCGGCAGCCCCGCTTCCCTTCCAGCTCCCTGCCTGTGGCCCGGGAAGGCAGTCGAGGACGGCCCAAAGCTTTGGGAACCTGCACCTGCGTGGGAGACCCTGAGGAGGCTCCTGGCTTCGGATCGGCATAGCACTGGCCATTGCAGGTCACTTGGGGAGTGAATCATCGGATGGAAGATCTTCCTCTCTGTCTCTCCTCTCTGTATATCCGCCATTCCAATAAAAAAAAAAATAAAAATAAATCTTTAAAAAAAATAAATAAACATGTTGAAAAAAGGGACAGTAATTGGCTTATATTTATTTATACTTTAGTAAACATTAGTAAATTACTAAAGAACTGAGTACTAAATAATAAGAATTAGTAGATGAAACAGTTGAATTAAGAGTCCAAGTTGGGCAGCCAGTGTTGTGCAGCACTGGCATTCCACATGAGCATCCATTCAAGTCTGGGCTGCTCCACTTTCAATCCAGCTTCCTCCTAATTCACCTGAAAAAGCTGCAGAAGACGGCTCAAGTGCTTAGGCCCTTTCACCCACGTGGAGGACACAAAAGAATCTCCTGTTTCCAGAAGTTATCAGCCTTTTAGGAAATCAACCAGATGGAAGATCTCTATCTTTCTTCCATTTCTCTGTATATCTACCTTTTAATTAATACAAAGTTTTTTTAAAAATCAGGTTAGCACAACTAACAGCATTTTCAAAACACACTTGCATATGCATATGCTTTTCAATAGTAAATATTACAGAAACATTTCACATATCATACAAAGTCACAACTTCTTCTCTGTAAATTGTCTGTAACTTTGTTTTTTTTTTAAGATTTATTTTTATTATTTTTTATTGGAAAGGCGGATATACAGAGAGGAGATACAGAGAGGAAGATCTTCCATCCGATGATTCACTCCCCAAGTGAGCCGCAACGGGTCGATACTATGCCGATCCGAAGCCAGGAGCCTCTTCCGGGTCTCCCACGCGGGTGCAGGGTCCCAAAGCTTTGGGCCGTCCTCAACTGCTTCCCCAGGCCACAGGCAGGGAGCTGGAAGGGAAGCGGGGCTGCCGGGATTAGAACCGGTGCCCATATGGGATCCCGGGCGTGCAAGGCGAGGACTTAACCACTTGCGCCACCGCGCCGGGCCCGTCTGTAACTTTGTTAACAATGAAGCTGCCTAAATAACTTCTGTGACTTTTGTTAACTATTATCTTTAAAATATACATATATATATTGGGCCCAGCACAATAATCTAGAGGCTAAAGTCCTCGCCTTGCACGTGCTGCGATCCCATATGGTCGCCGGTTCTAATACTGACTGTCCTGCTTCCCTTCCAGCTCCCTGCTTGTGGCCTGGGAAGGTAGTCGAGTACGGCCCAAAACCTTGAGACCCTGAACCCACATGGGAGACACAGAAGAGCTCCTGGATCCTGGCTTCGGATCAGCTCAGCTCTAGCCATTGGGGAGTGAAACATCAGAGTGAAGATCTTCCTTTCTGTCCCTCCTCCTCTTTGTATATCTGCCTTTTCAATAAAAATAAATAAATCTTAAAAAAAAAAAGATTTATTTTTATTGGAAAGCAGATGCCTTTTTATTGGATACCAGATGCCTCTTCTGAGTCTCCCACGCAAGTGCACTAGCCATTAAGGTCCCTAGCCTTTGGGCCATCCTTGACTGACTTCCCAGGCGGCAAACAGGGAGCTGCATGGGAAGCAAGTAGCAGGACATGAACTGGTGCTCATATGTCACCCTGGCATATGCAAGGATTTACCTTCTATGCTAGTGTGCTTGACCCTAAATATCTACCTCTTAAAAAGCCTTAACAAATTTTCCCCACCCCCCCTAAAATCCAAGTATTCTCTTTCTCCCATTATATTTTTATTAGGAGAAATATATATAAGAAAAATTTCCCTTATTTTAATATATGAAATTCACTGTTTAATTTAGCAGCCTTCCCAGCTTCACCCACACTTTAGCATTCTCAGAACTCCACATTCTTTTAGGACTGAATGATATCCCATCACGCAGACACACTTTTATTAGTGCATTTAACAGCCGTTGAGCCCTTCTGCCTATCACTATGTATCAGGGCAGCATACAGCTAAATGCTTACAGGTCTGATCCTCTGAAATGAGTATTAATGGCGTGAAGAATAAGTCACACATATTCACTCCGTAATCTCAGCTTTGTACAACAATAACTTCTATACATTTAGGCTTCAGACTGCACAAATAACATGATTTTCACCTAATCAAAATTTATATTGGGATGGCGCAGTAACTGAATCCTGGCCTTGCATTTGCTGGGATCTAATTTGTTGGTGCTAATTTGTTTCCCAACTCCTCTACTTCTTATCCAACTCCCTGCTTGTGGCCTGGGGAAGCAGCAAAGAATAGCTCAAGTCCCTGGAACCTTGCACCCACATGGGAGAACAGGAGGGGCCTCTGCCAGACTCCCGGCTTCTGATCAGCTCAGCTCCAGCCTTTGTAGCCAGTGGAGCATTTTGGGAAGGTATTTCTTTCTTCCCCTCTCTCTGGAAATCTGCCTTTCCAATAAAAAGAAATACATCCTTAAAAAAAAAAAATCACATAATTCACATTTAGTTTTCTTATGAAAGCATTTTATATTCTAAAATTTACCTCTTCTTTCTTCTTAGGGTCTGACATAGGATTCCGGAAGAGCGGGGAGTCTCCGAAGGGTGAGTATGTGAGACTATTGAGGTGCTGTTGGAGAACGGCCTGCTGGGCAGCAGCAGCATTTGGATCTGTCAAAGCTTCAAGAAAATAAAGAAGAAAAGGAGTCAGTGCATTGATACCATAAAATTCAATATTCTTCTTGGGGAGGTCCCCAAAAGGCTCAGACTTGGAAGCCTTACTGAGTGAACACAGAAGGGGACAAACTCAAAAAAAGCTCATTAACTGGTACTCAATAACTGGTACATCCAATATAAAAATAATCTAGAAAAAATATTTTACAGCCATCTTAGGCATAATGGTATAAAAGTAATGTAGCCTTTTATACAGAGAAATACTACAGATTTTTTCAGCCTATAACAATAAAAATCACGTAACACAGAACAATAATTTCTAAATATTTTTTTTAAAGATTTATTTTTATTTTTTATTGGAAAGGCGGATATACAGAGAGGAGAGACAGAGAGGAAGATCTTCTGTCCAATGATTCACTCCCCAAGTGAGTGCAACGGGCCGATACTATGCCGATCCGAAGCCAGGAGCCTCTTCCAGGTCTCCCACGCGGGTGCAGGGTCCCAAAGCTTTGGGCTGTCCTCGACTGCTTTCCCAGGCCACAGGCAGGGAGCTGGAAGGGAAGCGGGGCTGCCGGGATTAGAACCGGCGCCTATGTGGGATCCCGGGTGTGCAAGGCGAGGACCTTAACCACGGTGCAACCGCGCAGGGCCCAATTTCTAAATATTTTAACCTAATAAGGTCAATTGTGAAAACTTCATCTGACAATTTAATTAAATTAAAACTAAGGGCCAAAGTGGTGGCTCAATGGAAAAAGCCTTGGCATGCTACTGCCGGGATCCTATACGGCCGGCCACTGGTTCACTTCCTGGCTGCACCACATAGCATCCAGCTCCATGCTTGTGCCTTGGGAAAATAGTCAGGATGGCCCAAAGCCTTGGAACTTTGCACCCACTTGGAAGACTTAGAGAAGACGTCTGGTCCCTGGTTTAGCCTTTGTGGCTACCTGAGGACTGAACCAGTGGACAGATAATCTCTCTCCTCCTCTCTGTAAATTTGCCCTTTTGATAAAAATAAATCTTAAGGAATAACAACAAAAAAAGGATCACCTCATTATCCTTACTTACTCTATAAGCATAAGAACATTAGTTACCAATGCCATAGAAAATTAGCAAAGTTAATATTTAATGTGCGCCCAGCACAGTGACCTAGCAGCTAAAGCCCTTGCCTTGCACTCCCCGGGATCCCACATGGGTAACAGTTCTAAGCCCAGCAGCCCCACTTCCCATTCAGCTCGCTGCTTGTGGCCTGGGAAAGCAGTCGAAGATGGCCCCACGCTTTGGAATTCTGCACTCGTATGGGAGACCCAGAGGAAGGTCAAAGATCCTGCCTCTTGGCTTAGGATCGGCTCAGCTCTGGCCATTGTGGTCACTTCTGGAAGGAATAATTAGACAGGAGATCTTCCTTTCTATATATACGACGTTCCAATAAAAATAAAATAAATCTTTTTTTTAAAGATTTATTATTATTATTATTTTTTATTGGAAAGGCGGATATACAGAGAGGAGAGACAGAGAGGAAGATCTTCCATCTGATGATTCACTCCCCAAGTGACCGCAACGGCCGATACTTTGCCGATCCGAAGCCAGGAGCCTCTTCCGGGTTCAGGGTCCCAAAGCTTTGGGCCGTCCTCGACTGCTTTCCCGGGCCACAGGCAGGGAGCTGGAAGGGAAGCGGGGCTGCCGGGATTAGAACCAGAGCCCAAATGGGATCCCAGGCGTGCAAGGCGAGGACCTTAACCACTTGCGCCACTGCGCCAGGCCCAATAAAATAAATCTTAAAAAATTAAAAAAGTTACATGTGTTTTAAAAAATTGAACTTGCATTATTTTTTAACGTATTATTTACTCAATACTATGTCAATTAATTCCATAACATTGTATATTGGTGCTGATGTTTTGTTGGAGCTTTTAATTGATCGGGATTTTACTCTTTTGGCTCTACCTTCAGACCAGAGAAGGTCTCCCCAACAAGCCGTTGAGCTTATCTGGACAATAAGATGCTGGACTCTATGCTTGATATATGCTTGCAATGAAGGAATCTCAACTGAACTTGGACTGTGGTTACGCAACAAGGTGGAGGAATCCACCATGGTTACGGGAGGGGTGGGGGAAATCGCAGTACTTATAAAACTGTATCACATAATACAATGTTATTAACAATTAAAAAAAATTAAAAGTTTTAATGTGCTAAAATAACCTAAATTAAAAGAATATCAGCAATAATGCATTTTCAAAATTCTCACAATGAGGGGGGGAAGCATCAATAATAATATCAAAATAGGCAGAGCTGAGTTTACTTAATCAAAACTAGATGTGCTCACTGAGCATAACCAAATACTGTTGTGATATTTCAGAAGTGTGCTTTTGAAATCCAGTGGAGTTGTCAAGTAAAATAGTATGTAGTCAATCATTTGCATTAAGAATGTTCCCAGTCCCAATTTTATAGGCAGGTAAAAAACATGGAAGCTTATCCTTTCACATGTAATGCTACACATTAACAACACAATGCTATTCTGGGGACTATACAATGAAACCAGCAGAATTTTAGAGAACACTAACTTTTTTTCCCCATTAACATTTTATTGTTATCATCATCATCATCTTTGAGAACTCTGATCTTCATCATCTTGCTACCTGACAGTCAACTATCCATGTAAAAAAGACACTGACTTGCAACAGTAACCCCATGGTTAATCAAGTATAAGTACCACTAGCTGAAATCATTAAATAAAAATGTTCTCCAACAAACTGAAGCACAATTAGGAAAGCCTGGTTTAATTTCTATTAATGTGAATATGAAATCTCTAGGTTAACTACTTAAAAGACACAAATAGTGAAACAGGCACTGACATCGTCATGAGTCACCATTAACACAATTTGAAGTGCCTATATTCAAGAGTCAGCTCACTGTCCTCTTCAGCATCCTGCTCACACATACAAAGGGATGGCAACAGGCGATGGCTTAGGAACTGGGATTTTTGCTACACACTTAGCAGACCCATACTGAGCATCTGGCTTTTGCCCAATTCAGCCCCAGCCATTTCAGGCATTTTCAGATACACAGAGAAGAGACAGAAAAATCTTCCTTCCACTGGTTCACTCCCAAAATGGCTGCAACAGTCAGAGCTGAGCAGATCCGAAGTCAGGAACCAGGAGCCTCTTCTATGTCTCCTATTCAACTTCAGAGTCCAAAGGCTTTGGACCATCTTCTACTGCCTTCCCAGGACAAAAGCAAAGAGCTGGATGAGAAACGGAGCAGCCAAGACACGAACTGCTGCCCATATTGGATCCTGGCACTTGCAAGATGCGGATTTAGCCATTGAGTCATTGTGCCAAGCTAGCAAGTTTTTTTCTTACACCGATGATTAGAACCAAAGACAGAACAGCAGAGAAGAGTATTGTTACTCTCATTTTACAAAGAAGATTCAAAAACTGACATGGGGAAGAAATAACTCATCGGCAGAATACATAAAAGTACATATCTCAAACAAACAAGGTTTGCTCAAAACACACGTTTTTATCCTAATAGTACAAAAGACAAACGTAGTGGCACAACACTAACTTCCACCTTTCCTTCTATCTAAATGGCAGGGTTGGGTTTTTTCTTAGATATAAAGATTTATTTTATTTTCACTGGAAAGTCAAATATAAAGAGAGGAGGAGAGACAGAGGATGATATTCCATGTGTTGATTCGCTCCAAGTGGCCACAATAACCAGAGCTTAGCTGATCTGAATCCAGGTGCCAGGAGCTTCTTTCCAGATCTCCCATACGAGTGCAGAGACCCAAGGCTTTGGCCTGTCCTTGACTGCTTTCCCGGGTCACAGGCAGGGAGCTGGAAGGGAAGCGGGGCTGCCGGACTAGGAACCCGTGCCCATATGGGATCGTGGCGCATGCAAGGTGAAGACTTTAGTTGGTAGGCTACTGTGCCAGACCTGGCAGTTACTTTTATTTATGTCAAGTGAAACCAGTTTTTCGTTTCAAATGGAACATAGTTTTTTCTTTGAAAAGATATTTAAAGTTGATTTTCTCCAGTTAGAAATAAAGACGGTAGACAGATACTGCAAAAACTGTTAGGAATATTCAAATGAAGTATGAAAAAAACTCTTTTCTAGATAAAATCATACCAAGAAAAGTTATATTGAAAGATGGGAGGGAATACAGACAGACATGTTAAATCAGGTAGACATGTTAAGTTAAATTTTCTTTAGACTAAAAGCCAAAACACAGCAATACAAGCATACCATTTAGCAAGTTAAACATGTCAGATGAGTCAGAACATCATTCTCTGAAGTAGAGAACAGTAGAGAAACAGGGATGATGAGGACCTAAGTCCCATACCATGTGATCGTTTCAAGGAAGTACATGTATGTACTGTTGTGTAAGCGAGCAAACAGGATTTGGTTGGAAATCAAGTCAGCAAGTTACATATTAGCCAGAAAAAAACTTCATAAAGCCTTCTAAAGTGACTGATACTTACCTACAGGGGCCTGGGGGGCTCCAAAGCCCAAAGTGGCTGTCGTAGTATTAAATCCAGGGGCCCCAAAGCCTCCTGTACCAAGAGGCCCTCCAATCTTAGGTTGGTTGTTTCCAAACAAAGATGCCTGTCCAGCACCAAGAGCTATGTAGACAAAGGAAAAAAAGTACCACAGAAGAACCTTTGAATGCTGTGCAGGAGGTAGTTATTTAAAACATAATACATTTGGAAACTTCACAAAGATTATTTACTGTAACAAAAGTGCTAATATGACTAATGCTAAATATATGCAAGGCACCAGGCTCTGTGTATTACACACATTGCAGGTAAATCTCTGTTCCTGAAACATTCATTAAATTGTAGCTAACCTGCCTAAAAAGCAGAATTTACTCCCATTTTACAAACAAGAAAATGAAGGTTTAGTAAGGATTTTATAGAAAAGAATCTCAAAGAATTAAGGAACAATTCTCTTTAGTTTCCAATGTTTGAAAACGAAGGCAGGGGACCCTGGGTTGAAAACAGATGACCGTTCCACATCCCTGGATCCTGAGGCGGTTGGGAGGCTGGGTGGAACAATGCAACTGGCTCAGTCAATCAGAGTCATACAGGCTAAACCACAGAAAAACAAAAGTCTTTCTACAGTGATGTTCAACAACACCATCTGATGAAACCTGCTTTACTGAGACAAACTGGTTTTTGTGAAAAGCTAAATGCTTTATGACAAGGTTACTATACACATTTCAAGTGTCATTATGAAACAGGATTATGTAGAATAACCACTAGAGAAGTTTGTAATGTTTTTAAATCTAATGTATCCTGCTTAAGGAGCATGTTAGTAGCACTCTTAAAAGGTATAAAACAAACAAAAAAGATGCTACTGTCATTAAAAGAAAAACAATATTTCCGTCCTCCATGTGACCCCTCAAAAATCACTGTCAATTTAAAGTATTGGAACTTCCTTCAACATACTAACTGTATCTTTACAAGACTTAAAGCTAACTAGGAAAATTCAAAAGCCAAACATTTTTATAGGCCAAATTACCGGTCTCTAAAAATCCTTTGAGATAAACAGAAAAAAATGGGTAATATGTTTATATACAGATAATTCACATCAGAAATTAAGAATGAATGCTGAGGGGAAAACTGCTTTCCTTTTTTTTTTTTTTAAGATTTATTTATTAGTATTAGAAAGTTACATATACAGAGAAAAGGAGAGACAGAGAGGAAGAGCTTCAGTCTGCTGATTCACTCCCCAAGCACCCACAATGGCCAAAGCTGAGCCAATCCAAAACCAGATGCCAAAAGCCTCTTTTGGGTCTCCCATGTGGGTGCAGGGTCCCAAGGCTTTGGGCCATCCTTAACTGCTTTCCCAGGCCACAATCAGGGAGCTGGATGAGATGCGGGACTGGTTGCAACTAGAACTAGTGCCCATATGGGATACCGAGGCGTGCAAAGCAAGGACTTTAGCCACTAGGCGATTGCGCTGGGCCCGGGTTTTCATTAATGAGGGGACTTTATGTGTTATGTGATACAAAAGTATGATAATCAGAGAATTTATGCTTCACAATCACCTGCAAGAATCATAAGTAAACAATAAGGGGGGGGGGGGTGACAAAGGAATACGAAATGTTACTAGGGGTCTTAAAGATTCCAAGAGACCTAGGGAAAGGTAAAAATGGTTATATTCTTTTTAAGACCTAATAGCAAAAGCTACAATTTAATTCTACCTACAGAATCATAACTATTACATTCAGACATAATTTTATCTGTACTTTACTATAATAAGCAATCTTATCAGATGTATCATTAAACTTACTACTTTACTAAAACTTAAGAACTAAAACTGCTATTATCACTAGGTAACTACCAAAAAACTTGTACGTAAGTGTTAATGTCAGTTAATATCCACTGTAGAAAAAAAAATGGTTATGTACTTAATCATATTTTACCTTCTTCTAAGGAGTCCTTAGAAGGATCCTAAAAAGGATCAATACTAAATCTTTGAGAAAGTGGATATGTGGCATAGCCAATAGAAGTGTCATTTGTGATACTAGATGCTGTAATTATGGTCCAGCTCCCTGTTAATAGGATTGAAAAACCAGCAAAGATGGCCCAAGTGTCTGGGTTCCTGCCTTTGCCCAGTCAGTGTTAGCTAACTATTGTTGCACTCTGGGAAGTTTGGCAGTGGACACACAATCTCTTTCACTTTCTCTGTAATTTTTTTTTAAAGAAATCATTTTTTTCCTGAAATATTTATTATTTTTATTTTTTTGGAAAGTCAGATATACAGAGAGAAGGAAAGACAGAGGAACATCTTCCATCCACTGGTTCAGTCCCCATGTGGATGCAATGACTGCAACTGAGCCGATCTGAAGCCAGGAACTTCTTCCGAGTCTTCAACGCAGGTGTAGAGACCTAAGGTGACCCTCCCAGGCCACAAGCAGGGAGCTGGATGGGAAGTGGAGCTGCCAGGATACGTAATGGTGCCCTATGGGGATCCCTGTCTATGCAAGGCAAGGCCTTCAGCTACCAGGCTACTACATTAGGCCCAAGAAATGAATCTTTTTAAAAATGCTTTGTAGTATGATTATCACCTAAACTTAAAAATACAAAAACTGGGCCTGGCACGATAGCCTAGCAGCTAAAGTCCTCACCTTGCAAGCACTAGGATCCCATACGGGCACCGGTTCTAATCCCAGCAGCCCCCGCTTCCCATCCAGTTCCCTGTTTGTGGCCTGGGAAAGCAGTGGAGGACGACCCAAGGCCCTGGAAGCCTGTACCCACATGAGACCTGGAAGAAGCTCCTGGCTCCTGATAAGCTAAGCTTCAGCCATTGCAGCTGCTTGGGGAGTGAATCAGCAGACAGATCTTCTCCGTCTCTCCCCCTCTCTGTAAATCTGACTTTGCAATAAATAAAAATCTTTTAAAAAATTACAAAAAAAAGCTAAGCTAACAATTTGTAAAGTATTCTGTGACCAGCACTATGGTACAGTGAGTTAAGCTGCCATCTGCAGACGCAGCATTTCATATGTACACTGGTTCAAGTCCCAGCTGCTCCACTTCCAATCCAGCTCTCAGCTAATGTGTCTGAGAATGCAGTAGAGGATTGCTGATGTGCTTAGACCCCTGCCCCTATGTAGGAGACCTTCAAGAAACTCCTGGTTCCTAGCCTCAGCCCAGCACAGTCCCAGTTGTTGCAGCTACTTGGAGAATGAACCAATGGATGAAATACTTTTTTCTCTCTTACCTGTTCTCTGTGTAATTTTGCCTTTCAAATAGAGCTTAACAGCATCAAAAAAAGTACCCAAACACACATATTACAAGAAAAGTTATTTCTCCCTGAGAATGAATTTGAATCCCTATCTTCAGAAAAATATGCAGTTAATGTGGCATTAAAATTACAAATCAAAGGTAACCTCAAGTTTACCCATGTTACCACTATTCATAAATATGAGTGCTTACATTCCTTTCAAGTACAAAGGCTGCATTAGCAGATACAATAACCAAAGAATTTCTACTCCTTGCTGATACTTCTCAAAATGCTAACTGCCTCCACTGCCTGTAAGGCTGGGGATATAATATTTTCTCTTGAATGTACTGTCTCCTTGTTTGTATGGATAACACAAGAATATGTAAAAACAAAAATATGACACGCAGGCTGGGAGGGAATACTGCATTGAAAAATCATATATTAAAGTAGGCAGTCAATACATTAATATGGAACTGGGAGACAATGGCCAACATAAAAAGGTTTATAAAGCATTTTATTATCTTAAGACTACCAAAAACATTGCAACTTATTTTAAGATTCACAAAGCAAAGACAAAAATAACTCTAACCACACAAAAATAAAATTTGCACTAGATTACTAGCTGTAACCAACTGCCTAGATTCCCTTGTATCTAAGCAAGTGTTACACATGCCATCCCCAGTGGCTTTTAATTCTACTTCACTATCATTAATGGTTGGCTGTGGTACACTAACACACCTTAGTCTTTCAGTTCAAAGTCACTAATTTAGGATATGTTATGCTCCATTTAAGAACATAATCAAAAACCCTACAAGAAAGGTACATATGTATATGTGTACAACCATACTTGGAAAATGACTAGAAAGCAGTTTGACAATGTATATGCCAAACTTTCAACATCTGTTAATCCACAGCTGGAATACCTGGACTTTCCAATTGCTTAACCTTGCTTCTTTCATTAGAAATCAAATTATTAAAAAAAAATCAGAGTATTTTCAGATACCGAGAGTAAGAATGTAAAAGCAAAGATAATGTAACTGAAGCAGATATCACAAGATCACATATGTAGTTTACAACTAAATGACTACACCCACCTATGGTCAAACTGGGTAAAACAGACAAAGCTCTGTTGTAACAACCTTTTTAAACTGTGTATGTTGAAATACATATTCATTTTATGAAAACTCTCTACCTTCAATTGCTTAAAACAGCCAGGTAGGCAGAAGAGTTACTATCTTCTAAGGCAATTAAAACAATAATTTACATTAGGAACTGGGAAACAGGGTAACAACCAGATGGAAACTGAAAGGCCAGCAGAGATTTTCTCGAATCCCAGAGCATTGAATTTCTTAAGCATATGCTCCTTATTGTTCTGCCTTATCATTAAGGCTTACTTAATAAACAATTCAATGTCTTAAATGCTTGTTAATTGGTAACATGGAACTAAAGTTAACATCTTGTATGCAGTTCTTACAAAAACATTGAAAATCTCAACTAGATCATAACCACAAAAGACAAGAATTTTGTAGGAAATTTTCCTTTTTCTATCTAAATTCCAACATTTGTTAGAACTTCTAAGATAAGTGATCTGCCAAAGTCTAACTGATGGGAATGTTTATCAATCCAATTGTTATTTGCAGACAGATGACCAGAGATTTTAAACTATAGCAATAAAAAAATCAAGTTGCATCACTTTCTAAATCTTGTTGTAGTTGCTCTTTACCTGTTCCAAATCCTGTGCCAAGTCCAGCTCCCAGAGTTCCAGCTGCTGGTTTACTTCCAAAGATACTATTCCCACTGGTATTTGTGCCAAAACCTAAAAGGACAAAAGAATGAATAGCTTGTAGTTTTGACATATCTCTCAATTCTCTCTACAAGAGAATTTAATATTAAAAAAACCAAAAAGCAAAAAAACTTGGCTGTAAGCCTGACCATTAAGAATGATAAATTATAAGTTAATTTAGTGGCTAAAGTCCTCGCCTTGCATATGCCAGGATCTCATATGGGCACTGGTTCATGTCCTGATGGCCCCACTTCCATCCAGCTCAGTGGAGGATGGCCAAAAGCCTTCGGACCCTCTGGAAGAAGCTCCTGGTTCCTGATTGGCTCAGCTCCGGCCATTAGGTCACTTGGGGAGAAAATCAGTGGACAGAAAATCTTTCTCTCTGTCTCTCTTCCTCTCTGTATATCTGAGTTTCCAATATAAAATATTTTAAAAATAAAGTAAAATAATACAAATTTTAAGACACCAAATTTTTTTATGCCCAAAACATTCATGGTAAGAAAAACAAAATGGGTATAAAAATCTCTACAGCACGGGAGCTGACTTTGTGGCACAGTAAGTTAAGCTGCAGACTGCAACCCTACCACCATGTGAACACTGGTTTGAGTCCTAGCTGCTCCACTTCCAATACAGCTCCCTGCTGTTGTACCTGTGATATCAGTGATGTTTCCCTAAGAGCACCCACCACCCATGCGGGAGACCTAGATGGAGTTCCAGGCACCTGGAGTTCTAGGCCCAGCTCTGGCCATTGCAGCCATTTGGGAAGTGAACCAGTGGATAGAACATGTCTTTGTCTGTCAATCTGCCTTTCAAATAAATAGATCCTAAAAAGAAATTCTTGATAGCAGTTTTGTTGTGAACCAATAGCTGTGGCATGGGTGGTGCATGGCACATCACACATGAGGACCTTTAATGATGTTGGACTCATTTATAGGAATACTAACAGACTTGGCTAACATTAAAAAGAAAATTATCTACAAATAACTTATTCTTTCCATTGTCAGAGATGATGCACAGCTGAATAAACCATTCACTAGTACTATATTTCATCATTTATGCAGGTATTCCTATAATTCTCTCCCTATTTTATGCACTATTATTTGAAAGGCAGAGCTAAAGAGGAAAAGAAAAACAGCACTTCCATTTGCTGTTTTACCTCCCAAATCCTTAAAATGGCTTGAACTGGTTCCTAGCTGGAGCCAGGAACTCAATCCAGGTGTCCCAGTGGGGAGGCAAGAACCCAATTTTTCAAGTCATCACCACTGCCCCCCAGGTTCTGCATAAGTAGGAAACTGGAGTTAGAAGCTGGAGCCAGTAACTATACCCAGGAACTGCAATTTAGGATGCAGAGATATTTGCCAGTAAGCTAAATCCATGTTCTCTATCAATCATCATTGAAGTCCACAGGAATCACAACATATTTCATGGCTGACATTACTTTTTGTTCAGGTATATACACAAAGTCTTGGCATCCTTTTTAGGGCTAAGTATCAACTATTAATGAACATATCACTAATATCTCACGAAGAAAGGGAGAAAAACATTCACTGGCCAAAAATATTCTGCTTCTAAACACCAACATCTTTCAAAAAATCATGGAGAGGATTAAGTTCAAAACAAACAGAATACAAAGAACATCAACAACACTATCATGCTATTTCCAGAATGTAAAGAACATAAAAAACTGAAAACATGTCTATCTTATATGATTCTAATGTTTAGGAAACTATTCCTGATTTCACTGCAAACTATTTGACTTAGGTATTCATTAAAATCTAGGCTTTACTTGTGATAACAACTATGCCACAAAAATGGGGTGGGTGCTCCCTACTCAAGCACAACCAACTGCCTCTAAGGAAAATATAAAGAAAATGTATTTAAAGATCTTACTTTTCTGTTTAAATTAAAATTTAACCAGGAAAATATCCTGTGAACTACCTCAAACCCACGAACAGGGAAAAAAGTCCCAACTTACACTGTTTATACCACACATTTCCTCCAATTGTCACAGACAAGTGTATCAACTGTTATTGCAAAAACAATTTTATAAATTAAAGAGAAATATTCAGCATACAAGCTGGTGAGGAAAATCAGATACAGGTAAATCCGTTCACTTACAAATAACCTAACAAATATAAATACATACACACTGCAAATAACCCTCTAAGCAAATCAGAAACCTACAACCACAGAATGTCAAATACATTCTAAAAATACAGCATAGAAAAACCCTCTCATAAATAACATTCCATTCTAAACATGAAACTCTTCACAAATAAAGCTTTTGTTAGGAACTTTCATTTTGAAAAGGAATGAAATGTGGCCTTTGAGGGGCTAAAAATCATAAGTATGATGGTTTATGGAATTCGAAAGAGCCACAGAAGAGATACAACAGTATTTAAATTTCAGATTATTAAGGAAAATTGGTTTATAAAAGTTTTCCTTGGTGAAATTTCCAAAATAATGCTGATTGAACCTTAAATATGTTTCACATCTTAATTTTACACATAAAAAATACATATACAAAGATCTTCATTTTAACCAAGCTAACCAAGTCCAGTGCCTCAAAGCTCTAAAGCAGAGTGACCACAAAAAGATCACAGGTGGAACTATAATCATTACAGACGTGATCAGTTAAAAAGCCAGAAAAGATAAAGCCAAATAAATTTAAAGATTACAGATAAAGAATTGCTCTCTCTTTTATTATCATTCACATTTCTATAAAAACACTAACCTTCCAATGCTTAATATATTCTTTCTCCAGGATCCAATAAAATTACTCAAAAGTTCACTGAAGGGCTAGCTGTTTTTTTTTCTACCAATAAATCCCAAATTGGACTATCTGGATTTGATATTCAGCTCTGACAGGAGTCAGTGCAGGCATCAGTGATGTCTCAAATAACGGGGCTCCTCCTACCCACACTGGCCCCTGACTTAATTCCCAGCTCCCTGCTTTGACCAGGCCAACCTGAGATGCAGGTATGTGGCAAATGATCCACAGAATGGGTGCTCACTCTCTCCGTCTCTAATTAGCAGTTAATATGAAAATCAAAGGCCAGGAGGCTATGTAGCACAGTTGAGTTGAGCCACCATTTGTGACACCAGCATCCCATAATTGTCTAAGCTTCTCTGCTTCTAATCCAGATTCCTAGTAATGTGCCTTTGAAGGTGGCATATGACTGCCCAAGTGATTGGGTCCCTGTCATCCACATGAGACATGGATAGCTACAGGATCCTGGCTTTGGCTTGACACAGCTCTAGGAGCTACAGTCATTTAGGCAGTGACAGCAAAGGGAAAATATCTGTCTCTCCCTCTCGCTGATGATATTAAAATAAATAAAGAACCTTTAAACAACCACAAAAAATCTCAACAAAGCACCACAGGAACACTAACCTATGCCATTAATCATGTGCTTATGTTTCCCAGATCAAAATTCAATCAGTGCCTAATGATGGATGTGCTACATGTTCAACACTGTTTCCCTTGACAATGACCTTTCTTTTTAACAGAAATCATGTTGAATGTTAAAAATTTAAGTAGATAGTTGTCAACGATGTTTTACGGTTTCATTAAGCCATCTTAAAATTTTCTAGCACATCTCTGAAGAGTAATTTAGAATTTATTTTTTAACTGTTCAATCATCTTCACACTTTCCCAACTTTTTCACAATTAGTATAGACTCAAAAATAAACTGTCAAGTAATTTCCCATGTCAAAAAGGTTTCTATTTTTAGTAAGAATCATCAAATCTCGACACTATTTTCATGCTTGAAACTAGGCCTAAAAGAGTATACTGCCGCAAACAAATGTTTCATTTATACTTTGTCAGCTACTAGTAAAATAATCCAAAGAATATGAAAGGAAATTTATTATCTTCTACTAAATATACCAAGGTTTGGCCAGAACTTTAAAACCTTTCCCTCCAGTAGCTCACCATCAAGTCACAGGCTTACCTGAAAATTTGAAACTCTATCAAATTATATGAATCAGGAGAATGATGTGTGGTATAGTCAGTGTAACTTTAAGAGAGTCAAACCTGCTTTTTATATGTACCAAAAGTAGAAGTGTTTGTATTGGTTCCTAAAGTCAGAGTTGGTTTGTTACCAAAGAGCCCGCCACTGTTTGTACCAAATGAAGGAGCACTGGTTGTGCTGGTTCCAAATGTGGTAAGCTTGTTATTGCCAAACAGGGTCTAGAAAAAACAAAATTTTGAAATAAAAATTACATATCAACCAATAAATAATGGTTATCTTAACTATAATGGATTAGGTATGGGGAATAGAATGTTATTTTTACAAAAGGAAGAAGTAAAAAAACCAACAGATATGTAACCTAAAAATAACTATTAACAGAAACCACTGCTGGACTGAAAAGTTATTGAAAATTTAACAAATCAAAAATTTCAATGAGATTCTAGCTCCCTGCTTGTAGCCTGGGAAAGCAGCAGAGGATGACCCAAATCCATGTGACACTGTACCCCTTGTGGGATCACCGAAAGAAATTCCTGGCTCCAGGTTTCAGATTGGCTCAACTCCAGCCGCTGAGGCCATTTGGAGAGTGAACCAACACATGGAGGATCTTTCTGTCTCTTTTTGTAAATCTGATGTGCCTTCCCAACAAAAAGAAAAAAAAATTTTAAAAATAAAAATGAAGAATCTGAATGAGACATTAATCAAACAAGGTATACAATTATTTTTAACATATTGAAAGAAATGTATCATACATTTCACAGTGGAAATACTTTGAATAACAAACTGAAACATGCCAGAGAACAGATAAACCTTTGAACCCTGCTAATTCAAAGAAACCATTCTCAAAACACATGAAATGTTCTCAGAATAATCAAATTTATATACTGAAAATTTATATGCAGAAAATTTCCCAGTTAACCCTAAGTTAACTGGGAAAAAATGGGAAGGACTGGGCCTGGCGCGATGACACTGTGGTTAAGATCCTCGCCTTGCACGCCCGGGATCCCATATGGGCTCCAGTTCTAATCCCGGCAGCCCTGTTTCCCATCCAGCTCCCTGCCTGTGGCCCGGGAAAGCAGTTGAGGACAGCCCAAGGCTTTGGGACCCTGCACCCCTGAGAGAGACCCGGAAGAAGTTCCTGGATCCTGGCTTCGGATCGGCATAGCATCAGCCGTTGTGCTCACTTGGGGAGTGAATCATCGGATGGAAAATCTTCCTCTCTGTCTCTCCTCTCTGTATATCCACCTTTCCGATAAAAATAAAATAAATCTTTAAAAAAAAAAATGGGAGGGACTGCTAATGGTTATAGGGTTGCTTTATATTAACTTGATAAGTATGTTTCCTAAAAACTGAACGTGATAATAGCTACATAAAGTTAATACTATGTAAAACCATTGAACTATACTTTAAGGGGATAAATGATTATCCTGATTATACACCAGGAAAGACACTGTTTGGGAAGGCATTATAGCAGTGGAGGATGAGCCACTGCTCTGACACCAGCATTCCAGGAATGCCTATATATATCTTACCTAGTCTGCACTTGATTCCAGCTTCCAGCTTATATATCTGGGAGGCAGCAGATAATTGCCCAAGTACTTGGGTTCCTGTTAACCACATGGGAAACCACAGTGGAGCTCCAGCCTAACTTTAACCTGGCTTAGCCCTGACTACTATGGGAATTTAGGAAGTGAATCAAAGGATGGAAGATGAGCCCAGCACAATAGCATAATGGTTAAGGTCCTCGCCTTGAACACACTGGGATCCCATATGGGCTCCAGTTCTATTCCCGGCAGCTCCACATCCCATCCAGCTCCCTGCTTGTGGCCTGGAAAAGCAGTCGAGGACGGCCCAAAGCCTTGGGACCCTGTACCAGTGAGGGAGACCTGGAAAGAAGTTCCTGGCTCCCAGCTTTGGATTGACGCAGCACCGGCCGCTGTGGTCACTTGGGGAGTGAATCATCGGACGGAAGATTTTCCTGTCTCTACTCCTCTCTGTACATCTGCCTTTCCAATAAAATAAATAAATCCTAAAAAAAAAAAAAAGATGGAAGATCTCCATCATTCTGCCTTTAAGTAAATGAATCTTTTGTTAAAAACAAAAATTTCTTTTAAAGAACTTAATTTTCTTAAATAGCCTCACCTCAAATTATTTACCCCAAAATGCAATAAAAAACAATCTTAATTTTCATGCCAACAGTGCGATGTTTTAAGGATAATTTTTCTTGTACATAAATATTAAAAACTGTTAAGTTCAACATTTTTAAACAGATGTATAATCCAAAGTGTTTGATACTAATTGCAATACAACGAATTTTTAAACATAATATAAAAGTCTTAATACTGTATATCAAGAACAGTCACAAATAACACCTTATTTATTTTTATTGGGAAGGCAGAGTTACAGAAGAGAAGGGGAGACAGAGCGAGATATTCCATCTACTGATTCATTTCCCCCAATGACCACAAGGGTCTGAGCTGAGCTTGTCCAGGAGCCAGGAGCTTCTTCCAATTTTCCCACACGGGTGTGGCTGATCTGCTGCTGCTTTCCCAGGATACAAGCAAGAAGTCAGGATGCAAACCAGTGCTCATATGAGATGTAGGTATCAAAAGTGGAGGCTTTAGCCTCCAAGGTGCTTGGCCAGAACAATAGCTAGCGTTTATTAAAAAGGATGTATTCATTTTTTAAAAGGTAGAGTAACACAGAGAGGACAGAAATAGATTTCCAATTGGTTGATTCACGCCCCCCAAATGGCTGCAAAAGCTAGGTCAGGGGCAAGGTGAAGGGGAGCAAGGAACTTTATTTGAATCTTCCACATCACTGCTTTCCCTGCATTAGCAAGAAGCTGGAACAGAATCAGACTCAAATCAGCATTTCAACATGGAATGCCCGTGTCATAAGCAACACTTAACCTGTTGTATCACAATGTCAGTCCCACAAACAGTAGTATTTTAAATAACTTAATGAGAAAAACAAATCAATCAATCCTCCAGCAGCCTGAGCTCTGTAAGAACCACAATGAGGCCAGTGTTATGGTGCAGAATATAACCCCTTGCTTGCAATATTAATGCTCTACATTGGTTCTCAAGTCTCAGTTGCTGTTTCCAATCTACCATGCTAATAATGTACTTGGGAAGGAAGCAAAGATGCCCCAGACATCTGTACCCCTATCAACCATGTGGGAAAACTAGGATAGCATTCCTAGTTCCTGGCTTCAGCCTGGCCCAGTCGTAGCTGTTGCAGCACTTGGAAAGTAGAGAGTAGATGCAACATCCCTGGTACCCCTGCAAACACTGCCCAGCTCCACTGTAGTTCTGCCTTCCAAGCAAAAGATAACCTTAATGATCATAACGTGGAAGCAACATCAAAGGTGTTTAATTCCCAAAAGTCATATTAATTTACCATCCAAATCAGATGGTAGAATTAGCAGTTAAAACGTACCTAATTTAAACAAAGTGAAAACACCCCACTTGAGACTCAACAATAAACTAACCAAGTAGAATCCACGTCATATCTAACAGATCATATTTAATATCACATTGTATACAAGAAACATGCAATGTTATTTATCAATTTAAAAATAAATTTGGAGGGCCTATCCAACAGGATAAACCACAGCTTTCACGACTGGCACCTCAGATCAGAGTGCTGCACCACTTCTGACACAGTGCCTTGTGAATGCACCCAGGAAAGCAGACGATGGTCCAGGAGCATAGGCTCCTACCACTTGCAAAGGAGACTAAATGGAGTTCCTGGCTTCCAGCTGACCTGGTCCAGCACAAGCTGTTTCTAGCCATCTGGAAGATGAGCACAGATGCAGGAGCTTTCTGCCTCTCTGACATTCTGCTTTTCAAATTAATAATAGATCTTTAAAGTAATTTAAAAAAACTGAAAAAAAAAAAAGGTTTTAGATAAAGGCATTTCTTTTTAAGACTTATCTTGTTTTTTTTTTTAAGATTTATTATTATTATTTTTTTATTGGAAAGGCGGATATACAGAGAGGAGAGACAAGAGAGGAAGATCCTCCGTCCGATGATTCACTCCCCAAGTGAGCACAACGGTCGATGCTATGCCGATCCGAAGCCAGGAACTTCTTCCGGGTCTCCCACGTGGGTGCAGGGTCCCAAAGCTTTGAAATGTCCTCGACTGCTTTCCCAGGCCACAGGCAGAGAGCTGGAAGGGAAGCGGGGGCCACCGGGATAGAACCGGCGCCCATATGGGATCCCGGGCGTGCAAGGCGAGGACCTTAACCACTTGCGCCACCGCGCTGGGCCCTATCTTGTTTTTTTATTGGGCAGTCAGATATACAGAGAAGAGCAGAGACAGAAAGATCTTCCATCTGCTGATTCACTCCCCAAGTGGCCAGAACAGCTAGAACTGAGCCAATCTGAAGCCAGGAGCCTCTTCCGAGTCTCCCATTGCAGATGCAGTATCCCAAGGCCTTGGTTCCCTGACTGCTTTCTGAGGCCACAAGCACGGAGTTAGATGGGAAGGGGGGCCGCCAGGATTAGAATCAGTGCCCATACGGTATCCCGGCAGGTACAAGGAAAGGAATTTAGCCACTGGACCCATAACTGAAAATTTTAAATTCAAGGGTTACTTCACTATTAGCAATAAACTGCATACATGCACTGAGGAAAAGAAGCTTTAAAAATTTATTAATATCCCACCCTGATCAACCATGTAATCATTATTTTAAAAAAATTTAAATAAATAAATAAAATAAAACTATTAATTTAAGCACCCAGCACGATGGGCTCAATTAGCTAATCCTCCTCTTGCCAACTGTTGGCATCCCATATGGGCATCAGTTTGTGTCCTGCCTGCTTAACTTCCCACCAACTCACTGCCCATGGCTGGAAAAGCAGCAAAGGATGGTCCAGGATTAGAACCCTGCCCCAACAAGGGAAACCCGGAAGAAACTCCCGGCTCCAGGCTGCTAGCTAGCTCAGCTCCAGGTGTTGTGGCCATTAGGGGAGTGGACCTGCAGATGGAAGATATTTGTCTCTTCCTCTCTATGTAAAACTGCGCTTCCAATAAAATAAACCTTAAACAATAACAAAAAAATATTTGAAATTAATATATTTAACGAGTTAACACCTTTTACTTGTTATCAACAGCAAATCAAGTAATACTTTGAAAACATTCAAGTCTTTCTTAGACAACCCTTTGACACTCATACAATCTTCAAAGCATTGCCAACTTTGAAAACTTACCGAACCAACAGCACCAAATCCAGTACTGGTCTGCCCAAAGAGCCCTGTTCCTGTCCCAAATGCTGTTCCAGTGCTGGTGTTTGTAGCCGTTCCAAAAAGACCTCCAGGCTGTGAGGCCTGGGTTACTCCAAATAAGCCCTGCAAAAAGTTATCCAGATTAAAAGATGGTCTATAACAGTTTAGTAGTTTCCATTTAAGCTTATCTGACTGATGCTATAATCTTTGTCATACAGCTCCTGAGTTAGGAGACCCAGATAGTTCTACCTATACCTAAATCACCTTTTATCAAACCAGTCCACATTTCCATTAGCAATGTTTTAGGGTTCCAACTTCCTTAGCTCCTTACCAATTATAAGTTGTTTTTTATTATTATCATTATAGTTCTTTTTGGGGGGGGGGTTTTAAAGATTTATTTACTTTTATTGGAAAGTCAGATTTACAGAGTAAAGGAGAGACAAAGATCTTCCATCCACTGATTCAATCCCCAAGTGGCCATAATGGCTGGAGCTGAGCAGATCCAAAGCCAGGAGCTTCTCCTGGGTCTCCCATGTGAATGCAGAGACCCAAGGCTTTGGGCTGTCCTCCGCTACTGTCCCAGGCCACAAGCAGGGAGAGAGAGGGAGAGGGAGAGGGAAGTAGAGCTGTCAGGACACAAATCGGCACCCACACGGGTTACCGGCACATGAAGGGTGAGGATTTTACTCACTAGGCTATCACGCCAAATTAGAGATTTCAAAATATTATGAAGTCATATTACATTGTAAAATTTTTTTTTTTTTTGAGACACACACACACAATTAAGATCTGCTATTAGCTCAAGGTCAGTTTTCCTTACCATGGTGTTGGTACTTGGCTGTCCTAAGGTGCTGGTATTACCAAAGGAAAAACCAGTGGTTTGAGTGGTTGTGGCTTGACCAAATGGTTTGCTAAAGAGGCTGGTAGTCTGCTGATTTGGTTGGCCAAAGAGACCACCTGGATTTGTTCCAAATCCAGTTGTACCTTTCAGGAGAGAAAGAAGTAAATAATAAATCATAAAAAATAAGCTACAAACATACAGGACAAAATCACATTAAGCTGGTTACTCCAACATTGTTTTAGCTAACTGATCCTAAAACCACTCTACATACATTTGCTATCTGATAAACATTTCATTTTCCACCTAGGAACTTCACTCCCAGTTTGGCCAAAACTTAGTTACTATAACAACACTTTAATCCCAAGAGCCCTGATTTGGCTAATGATTATCCTTTGTAGGTCCAAGCTTCTAGATCACAAGACAACCATCACAACTCAAACATCATCTTCTGAAAGTGAAGTCTTCTTTAACCATATTCATTTCAAACTATTTTGCCCCACCTCCAAACATATACCAGGCACTCCCTATGTTTCCATTATTCCTGAACAAATTTTGTACACAAAATGACAAATATGTTCTACTTTTAGTTGTCTGTGTCCCCTCATATGACCCACTATTATGTCCGGTACTTACTGGTTCCAAAGGCAGTTTTGTTTTGGCCATAAGAAAAGGCTGAATTAGTGGTGGAGGAGCTGAAGAGTCCCGTAGCACTTGAAGTGGCTGGAGAAGACCCAAACAAGCCAGTTGCGGTACCTGCTCCCACCTGGTTCTGTGGGCCTTTCCGATTAGCCTGATAGTCCTCTAAACGAAGTTCCTGAAGGAGAACATATTCCTAATCTTAATATGCAGCCAAAAGAGTTACTTAGGAGATTAAGAACTTCAATTTAGTACTCAAGTTCAATGTTCACATAGGTACTATCTCTAAAAAACTACACAATAATATCAAGTTAATAAAGTTACAAGAGTCAGTGTGATGGCTCATTGTGTAATCCTCCACCTGCAAGCACAGGCATCCCCTATGGGTTCTCTCTTTCCAATAAAAATAAATACATCTCTCATGAAGTTACAGAAAAACATTTATGAATAAGCATTAAAAACAGGTATCGTAACTATACAGAGCTACAGGCTTCATGGTAACAGCCAATTATCTCAATTTTAACTTTATTTTTTAAAGATGTATTTATTTATGTGAAAGGCAGAGTTACAGAGAAACAGGACAGACTTTTTGTTCACTGCTTCACTCCCCAAATGGCTGGAACTCTTGAGCCAGAGTTCATTCAGGTGCACATGGATGCAGAGGCTTAGGTAATTGGGCCATTCTCTTCTGCTCTCCCAGACATGTCATCAGGCTGCTGGATCAGAAGTGCAGATGGGATGCAAACCACCAGCACACACATGGAAAGCTGGCACTACACATGGTGGCTTTGCCCATTACACCAATATCGGCCCCATTAACATTATTTTGTGAACAATAAGCACTTTCTTTCAGCTATGTAAATGTTATGTAACAATCTTATCTCGCCTACCTATACAAGTAAAAAAGTTGGAAGAAGTTGGGGCAGGTGTTCACTAAATGTAGGGAAAGGAGGAACAAAGCTTAACAATTTGTTCTCCTAAATCAGGGTTTCTGTACACTCCAATAAAGCAAGCAGTTAGAGATAATGAAGAAGCAAATGCTACAATTATGATAGCTAAAATGGATAGCCATCTACCACTGAACAAGAATCAAATTTTAAGTTTATGCAATGACAGGAATAAGTATCAAAGGACCAGCGCTGTAGTCTAATGGCTAAAGTTCTTGTCTTGAATGTGCTGGGATGCTATACAGGCACTGGTTCTAATCCCAACGGTCCCACTTCCCATCCAGCTCCCTGCTTGTGGCCTGGGAAGGCAGTCAAGGACGCCCCCGGGGCTTTGGGACCCTGCATCCGCATGGGAGACTCGGAAAAATCTCCTGGCTCCGGATCGGCTCAGCTCTGGCCACTGCGGTCACTTGGGGAGTGAATCAGTGGACAGAGGATCTTTCAGTCTATCCTCCTTTGCAATAAAGAAATCTTAAAAAAAGTGAGTATCACAACACCGAAAGACCAAAACAGGATTGTGTCATGGTACAGAACATTAAACACCATCTGCAGCACAGGTACTCCGCCTATCCACTTCCTATCAGCTCCTGGAATGCACCCGGTAAAGCAGCAGAGGCTGCCGAAATGCTTGGAAATCTAGTACCTACATAGGAGAATTGCATGCACTTCCAGGCTACTGGCTGTGGCCTAGCACTATGCCAGATGCTATGGCCATTCAAGGAGTGATCCAACCAATGAAGATCTTTCTGTTCTGTCCTGTCATTCAAATAAATAAATAATTTTTTAAAGTACATAATGTAAGATTTAATTTAAATAAAGTTTAAACCTAGGCAGTTGAGAGAAGTGTTATGTATAGAAGGGAAGGATCAAGTTACTATGGTGACAGGGCATAACAGGTAATATATTCCGTTTCTTGATTGATTTAGTGAAAACTTATTAAGCTGTATGCTTAATAATTTTGCATAAACTTAATAAAACTTGTTTTTACACACACACAGTACAATGTAATCATCCTTTGAGGATGAACCATTACAAAAGCCACATTTGGAGCTATGGAATCAATTGTGTCTTTGTCCAAAAACAAAAAATCATAAATAACAGTTTTTAAAAACTTGGTTATTAGTTTCTTCCAAAATTTCAATATGCCACTAAATTTTAAAGATAACAAAAATCATTTAAAATTATTTTAATTTTATGTGAAAGGCAGAGACAAACAGAAATTTTTCATTGGTTGCTATCGCACTACCCAAAGCTGCAACACCCCGAGAAAGGCTATCCCAAGCCAAAAATCAGGAATTCCACATGGGTTTTCCAGCTGGGTGGTAGGAAAAAGACCTGAAAACCATCACTGGCATGAGCAGAAAGCTCATTCTGAGGCCGCGCTGACAAAACTGGAATTTCCAAAGAAATCAAAAGGTTGTTATTCTGCATTGTATTTTTACTTACCTCTAGAGACTTGCTTTCATATTCTTTCATAGCAGTAATACACTGGTGCTTGGTACTGATATTGGTGCTAACTCCAGCTTTGACCATAGTATCTGTACCAGTAAGAGGCTGTAAGTGAAGACAGAATTTTTTAACAACTTAACTCTAGAACTCATATCCTAGGTATTTTATAAAAGAATATAAAAGTATTTGGTTAAAGATATTGTATTTTTGATTTCTTCCTATATCAGTTATCTGAATTCATCTATCTTAGCAACAAAGTTACCAAATTAATCAAATTCATAAGCACAAGAAAATTTTACACAATATATTTATACCTCTATATCTAAACTCTAACTCTGATTCTATCCTGAAATGTCTGCTTTATATAACTGCTGTTGCATTCAAGAAATACAGACACCTGTATTTTCCTACAGTGTTATGAGGAAAAGTCATAAGTAACAAATGACTCCTATTTTCTATTGTATTTTCTCTACTTCTGTATGTATTTTTAATAAAAGAGCTACAGCGAGAGTGACACACAGATAGATCAATCTTCCATCTGCTGGTTCACTCCCCAGATGCCACACTCAAGCCAGGAGCTACAAGTGCTTCCAGATCTCCACATGGAAGGCAGGGTCCAACCACTTAGTCTATCTTCCACTGCTTTTCTCAGGCAACCAGCAGGAGGATGGATCTAAAGGGGAGATGGTTTGTGCCCCATATGCTTTACTTCCCTTCCAGCTCCCTACTTGTAGCCTGGGAAAGCAGTCAAGGATGGCCCAAAGCCTTAGGTCCTGCACCTGAGTGGGAGACCTGGAAGAAACTCCTGGCTCCTGTTTGGCTTTGGATAGACTCAGCTCTGGCTGTTGCAGGTATTTGAGTGAACCAACAGATGGAACATCTTCCTGTCTTCCTTCTCTCTGTTCAATCTGTCTTTTCAATAAAAAATGAATCTTAAAAAATTTAGTATTATGAACTCTAACCACCTTACCTAAGAATTTTCTGGATTTGCTGAACTAAATTTTAATAATATATTGTCATTTCAACAACAGAAATCTTACTTTTTAACTAGTACGGGATACTGATAAGTGCTTCCATGCAGCTCTTTAAAAAGGCCTTTCTTAGAGAAGCTTTTCTTCTTTGTTTAAAAAATGATTTAGCAAGAACAGGCATTGTGGCATAATGGTAAAGCTACTGCAGTGCAAGTGCTGACTGCTGCACTTCCAATCTAGTTCCATCCTCCAGGCCTGGGAAAAGCAGTAGATGATGGTGCAAGGTTTGGGCTGTCACTGCCATGTGGAACACCTGGATGAGGTTTCAGGCTCCTGGTCTTGGCCTGGTTCAGCTCTGGCCATTGTGGCCATCTGGGGAGTGAATCAACAGATGAAAGATCTGTTTCTGTCTCTCCCTTTCTCTCTGTAACTCTGACTTCCGAATAAGTATTTTTTTTTAATTGATTGGAAAGCGTTTCAGATTTTTTACCCACTGTCACTCTCCAAATAACAGTCAACAGCCAGGGCTAAGGCCGACCAATGTCAAAGGACTGGTACTCCATCTAAGTCCTTGGCACTCTGAGCCATGCCATCTTTTCCTGCTTTCTCAGGCACATGAGCAGGAAGCAGAGCAGTCAAGACTTCAACTGGCACTCATGGAAAACCAGCATAACAAAGGCCTAATCTGATACTTCACAATAAGGGTCTCTTGAAAATTTTTTCAGTGTACCCATTTCCTTTATTTCTATGAAGGATAGTACCATTCAGAGGCCAAAGTAAATTCAAATTCTATCTTAAGTGAGCGAATATAATCAAACTTATAAATACACCTTTAACTGGGGAAATATTAATTCAAATATACAATATAATCTTAATTTGCTTTACATTTCCATACTACTATAGTAATCATAGATTTTATTTTTAAAACATCTTTCAGAAAAAATCAAACTAAACTAAGTTGTGCTTAATGGGAAGAGGAACAATTCACCTTGCAAAGAAACACAAGTGAGGAAAAAAAATACATTTCCACAAAAATCAGAAGAAAATACATACATTAAATTTAATGGTAGTCCCAGTGGGAGCAGCAGTGAAACTACTTGGTCCAAAAAGAGAGCCAGATGTGCTACCAAATGGATTAGAGGTGGTATTTGTAGTTCCAAAAAGTCCCCCACTGCTTGTACTTGTTCCAAAATCTATGAATCAGAAAAACAAATGGAGAATTAAAACATAAGAATTTAAGAATCCACAGATATCTTGAAATTGGGTGGTAGTGCTTTGAGTACTTTAGTTTTTCTGGTTTCCAAATGTCTCAAGCAAGTTCATTCAAGCAGAAACTTCTTATACGGACACATACATACTTCCAATTTTCAAGTGAAACAAAGTCTGAATCCTTTAGTCAAATAAATGCCTATGAAATCCTTCTGGGGAAGGTTTTAATATTCAGAGTACCCAGAAGACAACTTAAGAGAAACATGACTTATTCATAACATTCATCTCCTCTCCTTTTATACTACAAATGGGATAAAATTATCTTTCCAAACATATCCTGTCACAGCAAACTTTAACAAGCAGTCACAATATTTTATTTATATATACCAATATATACAAAAAAGTTAAAACATACCAGTGGTGCCATATATCAGGGCATTCAAATATAGATTAATGTAAAACTTGTCCCTACCTACTTAAGAAAAATTACTAGGCACTATTTTCTAAAATTTAATACAGGAATTGCCGATCTTCTGATGATTTACCCTTTCAAAAGGTGAAGTTTTATCACAGTATGATCGTCAGTAAATGTGATTAATAACTAGGGAACATACTTCTCAACATGAAAATGCTACCTGTGCAGTAGTTACGCATATGCTGTCAAAGATGTCAGACAGCAATAAAAATTATCTGCCAATATTTTATATTAAGATTCTCAAAGTTACAAAATTAGGAAGATTGTAGGTTCTCACTGGCAAATTGCTAACTTGTCGTAACATAATTTACAATGGAGAAGCACTTTTTGCTTGAATTGCATTTTACATGGTCATGTTAAATACTTCAGCAGCCCCACAAACTGGGTCTGTGAACTGGATGGGTGGGACAGGGCTATCGGGGTGAAGAGATCATTCATCACTTCAATCAGTAGTGGCCAACTCAAAGCACACTGTGACACAGCGCCAGACCACTTCTGGACTTTAAAAAGGCATGAATTAAAGACAACGACAGGGGGTTTGGTGCGGTAGCTTATTAGTTAAAGTCCTCGTCTTGCATGTGCTCGGATCCCATATGGGTGCCAAGTTCATAACCTGGCGGCCCCAATTTCCATGCAGATCCCTACTTGTGGTCTGGGAAAGCATTTGAGAACAGCCCAAAGCCTTGGGACCCTTCACCTGCATGGGAGACCTGGAGGAAGCTCCTGGCTTCAGATTGGCCTAGCACTGGCCACTGTAGCCACTTGTGGAGTGAACCAGCAGACAAAAGATCTTTGTGTAAATCTTTCCAATAAAAATAAACAAATCTAAAAATATATGTGTGTGTATATACAAATATGACAGCCAAGTGTAGCAGTACAGAAGCTAATCCTCTAACCTGTGGCACCGGCAACCCATTTGTGCAAATTCATCTCCTGGCTGTTTCAGTTGCGATCCAGCTCTTTGCTTATGGCTTGGGAAAGCAGCAGAAATGGCCCAAGCCCTTCGGAGCCTGCACCCATGTGAGACACCTAGATGCTCTGGCCATCACAGCCATTTGTGGAGTGAATCAGCAAATGGAAGACTTTCTCTCTATCCCCTTTGTGAAATCTTCCTTTCAAATTAAACATACAAAAAAACCTTTCCTGTCCTGATCCTCCAACACAACCCATTCATCCTTAAAATGGCAGCATCTGGCCTAGCTTTTATTCCTCTCTGTAGTCATTCTGTATCAGGCACCTCTCTCTGGATACCCCTTAAACAAATTTCCACCTTAAGAGAGACGTACAAATTCTCCTGCTTTCCAGCCTAATTAAGCTTCTCAATACAGTTTCAAATTTCTCTCTTCTCATTTTTCTGTCATTTGCTGGGATGAGGTAAGTAAAGATGGGGAAAAGGGAAGACAAAATAGATTGAATAAGCAAAGTTATTAGAAGCTTAAGTCCAATGATACACCACTTACTCCCAAAGCCAGTTGGTTTGTTTTGTGCAAAGGCATTGTTCTGGGATGAGAAAAGACTGGTCCCTGTATTTGCAGTTCCAAACAAGCTACTTGACGTTCCTGTTGATGCTCCAAACCCAAAGCCGGTGCTTGTGGAGGTAGCTGGTTGGCTAAATGAATTGGTACCAAATAATCCTCCTGGGAGAACGGAGAGAAGAGGGAAGTTAAGCAGAAATTTTACAGCCACCAAGTGAAGTTTTACACCAGCTATAGTGCAAATAAAAGCCCTACCTGGTTTGGTCTGTGAGCTACCGAATAGGCCTCCAGTATTGTTGCTTGAACCAAACGCAGATGTTCCAAAGGCACCTCCACTAGTAGTGCCAAAGCCAGTATCTGGAAGGAAAGAAAAATTCTCACACACAACTTCAGAATTTATTTCTCTTAACTATAAAATGGCCTCTCATTGGGCAAAGCATTACAAACACTTGATATGACTGTTTAAAATATAGATGTTCTGGTTATAATTTCAGAGATTCTAACTCTTTATCTTTATGATGAAAAGTATGCAGTTTAACCACAGGCCCCCCAAATGAATTATGATGGGCACTCTTGGTAATAAAAGGATGATCTTGGGCCAGCATGGAGGTGCAACAGGTAAGGCTATCACCTGCAATGCCTGCACCCCATATGGATGCCAATTCAAGTCCCAACTGTTCCACTTTCAATGCAGCACCCTGCTAAATGGCCTATAAAAGCAACAGAACATGGCTCCAAGCACCTGGACCTTACGTCTACGAGGGAGACCCAAATGAAGCTCCTGGATTTGGCGTAGCCCACCATTGGTCACTGCAGCCACCACGGAATTGAAGAAACAGATAAAGATCTGTGTGTCTCTCCCTCTCCTCCCTCAATAATTCTTTCAAATAAATAAGCAAATCTAAAAAATAATAATAATAACATTCTTGACACAGAGTTCTCTAAAATTACTCAAGGGACAAAACATTTTTTCTATTACTTTTACTAAATGTGATAAAGGTTTCGTAGATTTTGCTTTACACAAAAATCTTCAGCAATTAGGAAAGGTTTCTGAACAATAATGGGAAAATGGTAACTCCTAAGGTTGGGAGGCAAAACTTAAAGATTTTTATTTGAAAGGCACATTCACAGGGAGAATAAAGAGACACACAGATTCTCTAGCCACTGGTTCATTCCCCCAATGGGCCCTAACAGCTGGAGCTGAGCCAATCTGAAGCCCAGAACCAACAGCTGCTTCCAGTTTTCCCATGCAGACACAGAGGGCTCAACGACCTGAACCATCCCCCACTGATCATAAGCAGAGAGCTGGATCTGAAACAGAGTAGCCTGGACCCAAAATGCTGCCCATGTAGAATACCTAAAATTACAGGTGGAGGATCAGCTTAGTAAACAACTGTGCCAGCTCCGAGAAAAAAAATTTGACCAGAGTTCAAGAGTTATGACAGGTAGCGAGCGTCTCATAAAATATTCAATGGCAGAGAAGGCGTATGAGACAGGGTAGAAAATATAAAGACTATCATTTTAGCATTTCTGTTAAAGAATGTCACACTTTTTACATAATCCCTGTGCAGTTACTCATTAACTGATTAGATTTTCAGCATTCAGGGTCCGGAGCCTGGTCCTGACAACTAAAGTCCCTGCCCTGAACGCCCGGGATCCCTTATGGGTGCCGGTTCTAATCCCCGCAGCTAAGCTTCCCATCCAGCTCCCTGCTTGTGGCCTGGGAAAGCAGTTGACGATGGCCCAAAGCTTTGAGACCCTGCACCCACGTGGGAGAACGGGAGGAGGTTCCTGGCTCCTGGCTTCGGAGCGGCACAGAACCGGCTGTTGCAGTCCCTTGGGGAGTAAATCATTGGCCAAAAGATCTTTCTCTCTCTGTTTCCTCCACTATGTATATCTGACTTTCTAATAAAAATAAAGAAATCTTAAAAAAAAAAAAAAAAAAAGATTTTCAGCACTGAAAGAAAGATCTATTTCCTGGGGCCCATCATCATGGCCTACAGGATAAAGTCCTTGTCTTTAACATGCCGGGAGCCAAGAACAGGCGCCGGTTCTAATCCCAGCAGCTCCACTTCCCATCCAGCTCCCTGCTTGTGGCCTGGGAAAGCAGTTGAGGACAACCCAAAGCCTTGGGACACTGCTCCCAACGGGAGCCCTGGAGGAAGTTCCTGGTTCCCAGCTTCAGATCAGTGCAGCACCAGCTATTGCGGTCACTTGGGGAGTGAATCATCGGATGGAAGACCTTCCTCTCTGTATATCTGACTTGATCAAACAAATCTTAAAAAAAAAAAAAAAAAAAAGAAAGAAAGAAAGGGCCTGGTGCCATAGCTTAGTGGCTAAAGTCCTTGCCTTGCACACACTGGGATCCCATCTGGGTACAGGTTATAAGCCCAGTAGGTCTCACTTCCCATGCAGATCCCTGCCTGTGGGCTGGGAAAGCAGTCGAGGATGGCCCAAAGTCTTGGGTCCCTGCTCTGCATGGGAGACCCAAAGAGGCTCCTGGCTCCTAGCTTTAGATCACCTCAGCTCCGGCTGTTGCAGCACTTGGAGAGTGAATCAACCAATAAAAGATCTTCCTTTCTTTTTCTCCTCCACTCTGTATATTTCACTTTCCAATAAAAAATAAATATTTAAAACAAGAAAAAATTTTATGATTTAAAAGCAATAAATTTAGCCAGCTTGATTGCTCAACTTGGCTAATCATCTGCAAACACCGGCATCCCCTGTGAATGCAGCTTCAAGTCCCAGCTGCTCCACTTCCCATCCAGCTCCCTGCTTGTGGCCTGGGAAAGCAGTCGAGGACGGCCCAAAGCTTTGGGACCCTGCACCCGTGTGGGAGACCCGGAAGAGGCTCCTGGCTTCGGGTCGGCATAGCATCGGCCGTCGCGCTCACTTGGGGAGTGAATCATTGGACGGAAAATCTTCCTCTCTGTCTCTCCTCTCTGTATATCTGACTTTCCAATAAATAAATAAATCTTTAAAAAAACAAAAAATGTTTTCTGTCCAGGGCCTGGCATGATACCCTAGCAGCTATTGCCTTGCACACACCAGGATTCCTTACGGGTGCCGATTCTAATCCTGGCAGCCCCACTTCCCATCCAGCTCCCTGCTTGTGGTCTGGGAAAGCAGTCGAGGATGGCCCAAAGCCTTGGGACCCTGCACCCACATGGGAGACCCAAAAGATGCTCCTGGCTCCTGGCTTTGGGTTGGCTCAGCTCCAGCAGTTGCAACCGCTTGTGGAGTGCATCAGCAGACAGAGGATCTTTTTGTCTCTCCTCTTTTCTGTATATCTGACTGTACAATGAAAATAAATGTTTAACAACAACAACATCAAAACTTACTCTGCCCAAATGTTGAAGTTGTGCCAAATCCACCTGTGCCACCCCCAAAGGGTGTTCCGAATGCTTTATTAAACATCTTCAGAATGAGTCTTCACTTCAGAAATCTGGAAAGAAAAAAATTATTTTAAAGACAAAGACATGGTGATGGAACTATTCCAGAAAAATCAATCATTCCAAAAATTTAGGACTACTCAAGCAATACCATACAATCTCATTCAATCGGCTAAAACTCTATATGTTAAAACAAATCTTACTAAATGCTCCCAAATCTACATTGCTTCTAAGATGAACAGTAACATAAAGTGTGTTAAAGGGCCCAACGCAGTAGCCTAGCTGCTAAAGTCCATGCCTTGAACATACCGGGATCCTATGTGGGTGCCAGTTCTAATCCTGGCTGTCCCGCTTCCTATCCAGCTCTCTGCTTGTGGCCTGGGAAGGAAGGAGAAGACAGCCCAGGGATTGTGACCCTGCACCCACATATGGGAGACCTGGAAGAGATTCCTGGCTTCGGATCAGCCATTGTGGTCACTTGGGGCGTGAATCAATGGTCAGAAGACCTTCTTCTGTCTCTCCTCCCCTCTGTATATCTGATTTTCCAATAAAAAATAAATAAATCTTTAAATAGAAAAATGCGAGGTTAAAAGCTCTTATTTAAAAAAAAAAAAAAAAAGAATTCATTTCCTTTTTTGGAATGGCAGATATACAGAAAGCTCCTCCATTTGCTGGTTCATTCCCCCCAAATGGCCACCATAGTGCTGAGCTGATCCAAAGTAAGGAGCCAGGAGCTTCTCCCAGGTCTCCCATATGGGTGCAGGGTCCCAAGGTCTGGGGCCATCCTCTACTGCTTTCTTAGGCCGCAAGCAGAGCTCTGCATGGGAAGTGGTACTCCAGGGATTAGATCTGGCATCCATGTGGGATCCCAGTCCATGCAAGGTGAGGACTTTAGCCACTAGTTACCACGGTAGGCCCAAGGTCAAAATCTCTTAAAATCCACCAATCATTTACATCAAACACAAACTTTCAACCTCTTTTTAAATACAAGTCTCTTTTTAATATGCATTACAAATCCATGAAGCCAGATTTTGATACGATCTATATAAGGATCTGCAATAAAACCACTAAAAATTATAATAATAGAAAAAACTGCAATTTGTGTCAATCTATTTTTGACAGTACTGCTTCTCAGCCTTTTGGCTAAGTCAAGTGTAGTTTACCCTATAAAAAGGATTTTTCAGTCTCAGCATGATAGCCTATTGGCTAAATCTGGTCTTGCATCCTCCAGGATCCCATGTGTGATATTTCTATCACAAACATCCCACATGGATACCAGTGATGGAATAATCTTTCTTGTAGTCAAAATATGCCTTGATCATAACAGAACTGAATGTTACGCCCTGAGATTTTTCCTAAGTCCCCTACAGTGCGATACCCCATCAACCCCATCTAAGTGTTAGAACATCTGACATTTTCTCCAACAGCAGAATAAGGTTGTCTCTTAACCTGTGATGCTTTTTAAAAACTGATTGTATCCTGAGGTTGCCACTGTGGCACAGCAAGGCAAGCTTCCACCTGCAGCACTGACAACCTGTATGGATATCACTTTGAGTCCCAACTGTACCACCTTCCATCCCAGTTCCCTGTTAATATCTTATGTGGGCAGCAGAGGATGGCCCAAATGCTTGGGCTCCTGCCACCACATGGGAAATCTGGACAAAGCTCCTGACTCCTGGCTGTGGGCTTAGGATTAGCTCAGCTCCAGCTGTTGTGGCAATTAAGGGAATGAACCAGCGGATGAAACATCTCTCTCTCTCCTCTCTCTGTAAAGGCAGGAGTTTGGTACAGCAGTTAAGATGCTGCTTGCAACACACACGTCCCATACACAGGACACCTTGGGGTGAAGTTCCAGCTCTAATTGCGACCAGTGAGTCCTGGCTGCTCTCCTTCTGCTCCAGTTTTCAACTAATGCTCCTGTGATGGAGCAACTAGGTCCTTATGGTGTGTGTGGCAGACCCAGATGGAGCTCTCAGCTTCTGGTTTTGGCTTAGCCCCAATTGGGAGTATCAATGAACAAAGATTTCTGCCTTTCCCTCCATGGTGTACTACCTTCTACATAAGTAAAATTGATTAAAGCTAAAAGAATATTGCAATTCAAGTCTTCACCCTATCAAATGCATTGATCTAGCACCTCCGGAAAACCTAAAAATAACACAAGATTTGAGTTCTTATTATGCCCTAAATACTTTATGAATAACATAACTGAATTCTCCCCAGGATCCAACAAGGTAGGTTGAGGAGCACAAAGCTACCACAAACATGTCCCCAAGTCTGAAACATCTAGAGATAGAGCAAGCATTATCAACTAAAAGGAAATGACTTTGTAATCACTACAAATAGGGAGCTAGGAAACCAAAATTTAGGGCTCAGCGCAGCAGCTTAGTAGTTAAAGTCCTCAACTTGCACACAACAAAATCCCTTATATGCGACAGTTCTAATCCCGGCTGCTTCACTTCTCATGCGGATCCTTTCTTGTGGCTGGGGAAAGTGGAATTAGGCCCAAAGTCTTGGGACCCTGCATCCACATGGGAGTCCTACAGCAAGCTTCTGGCTCCTGCTTTCAGATCCGCTCAGCGCCAGCCACTGTGGCCACTGCGGTCACTTGGGGAGTGAATCAGTACACAGTTTTTTTTCTTTACAAATCTGACTTTCAAATAAAAATAAATCTTTAAAACAACGCACACACAAAATGTAGCCAGTGTCATAAGGAAAATCACTTGTCCGGTAAACACAGGAATTCTAGTCATCAGAACCTCTACAAAGAAACAGGCATAACACACTCCCATGGTCTAGATGAAATTTCCTACACAATTAATCTTTATCTTTTTTTTTTTCATACAAGGCCTATTTAAATGCACTGCTTTGGGGACCTGGCAGGAGGGGGTGGGATGAGGAATATGAGACATGGTCAGAAACAACAGTAATAGTGCCAAACATTAAGATTTTTAATTTTATCGGGCCCGGCGAGATGGTGCAAGTGGTTAAGGTCCTCACCTTGCACGCCCGGGATCCCATATGGGCACCGGTTCTAATCCGGGCAGCCCCGCTTCCCTTCCAGCTCCCTGCCTGTGGCCCGGGGAAAGCAGTCAAGGACGGCCCAAAGCTTTGGGACCCTGCACCCGCGTGGGAGACCTGGAAGAGGCTCCTGGCTTCAGATCATTGCGCTCACTTGGGGAGTGAATCATCGGATGGAAGATCTTCCTCTCTGTCTCTCCTCTCTGTATATCCGCCTTTCCAATAAAAATAAAAATAAATCTTTAAAAAAAAAGTTAATTTTATCCTTAAATTTCACTCTACCCTCCATGTTCAATCTTCTAATAATTCAAACCTTCAGTCTCAAGGAAGACGTGGCTTTACTGACACACACTGAAGGAACCAGCATTGTGGGAAGTAAATTAAACCAGTACCTTGGATGCCAGATCCCCTATCAGAACATCAGTTCAAGCTGTGGCTGCTCTGCCTTTTTTTTTATTATTATTTTTTAAGATTTATTTATTTTGGAGAATCAAGATGGCGAAATAGGATAAGGACACGTTTAAATGGACAGAAAGACATTTAATCAGGATGTGTCAGAGAGGACATATTTCAGGAAATAGGAAAGGACAGAACAACAGCAGAGGGGTACCTGGAGACTGACAGACACAGGAAAGCAGCGGGCACAGCAGTGTGCTGTTGCAGTGACTGATACTCCAGCATGGCAATCTGAACTCCGCCAGCAACTGGAACTCCACCAGCAACCAGGTGGGAAGGTGGGAAGGTGGGAAGGCACTTTCACTGGGAGCTTGGGAGGTGAATCCAGACAAAGAACTGTCCGTCCTGCTGGTCTGTTTGATTTGACCAGGAGCAGAGACAGAGCAGCTAATCTCAGATGGGTAGTGCGAGAACAGAGTGGATTTCATAGCCCAGGCAGCTGATTTGTTCGCCATTTTGCTTAAGGAGGAAAGGGCAAGGCAAAGGATTGAGCATGCTCTGAGAGTAAGTTCATTTCTGACTCGGTGAACTGCAATGACGTGGCATTCAACAGGTTCCACCCGGGGCAGGTCTGGGTAGCCCTGGGTAGCCCTCGGTTCTGACGGCCAGCAGATCAAGAACTGTAGTGGTGGTACGTCAGGTGCCATTTTACGCACTGTGGCAACAGCTTTGGGACTGCAGGGGACAACAGTGAATTGCGCATGTGCTGAGCTCGCTGAGGTCGGTGATTTGCACTGGTCCCACAGGAAAATAATACCAACTGTGGCATCATACGGGTCAAAATAGGTCTGTGCACCCAGACCTAACGTCCGACAGGTTCCGACAAGATCAGCACCACCAACAACCTAGTTATATAGGACACGTGGAGTCTCTCTAATCCTGGGACCTGCTCCAACCAGAAGTGGGAGAAAGGTTGTAGAGACAACAGTGCAGCCTCAGCACAGTATCACAGGAGGTGGAGAGTGGTGAGCCAAGAGCTGGGGCTGTGGAGACCACAGTGGAAATCTGACATAAGAAGCCAGACCTGGAACTCACTGGAGGTTGTGGCACAAGTGGCTGCAAGCAAAAAGTTGTATACCAACTGCAATCAGTAAAATTGCATTGTAGACCTGTGGGTGACACAGCTTAGAAACCTGCCCCCAAAAGACTCTGATAACCAGAAGTACAATGACAAAGAGCAAAAGAAGAGACAAAGGCACAATGAATATTACAGAAAACTCCCCTGCAAAGGAGCAAAGCCCTTTGCCAACCTCAGAGTTCACTGAGGAAGACATCGAGAAAATAGGGGACACAGAATCCATAAGACTCATTTTAAAGATTCTAATCAAAAATGAGAAGCTCATGCAAGAGTTCAAAGAATTTAAGGAAGCAGTAAAGCAAATCAAGGCTGGTATATCAGAAATTAAGAACACAGTAGAGCAAATTAAAAGTACAGTGGAGAGTCTCCAAAATAGAATGAAGGAGGCAGAACAAAGAATCTCAGAATTGGAAGATATTTCCTGTCACTAACGGGAAGCAAACAAAAAGCTGGAAGCAGAGCTGGATCAGGCCAAAAAAAGTATTCAAGAATTGAAAGGCA